TCTTTTATTATTTGTACATGTACAGCCCCGGTGTCAAACAGCCTCAGTCAGCGGTTCAGTCACCGCTGGGTGGTGTTCTGTGGTGGTGTCCTGTCAGTGGTAGGATTGGTCGCCACAAGCTTCGTACGAGATGTAGAGTGGTTCTTTATAACATACGGAGTCATCACAGGTAGGCAATAGCAATAGTGTAAGATCTGAATTATACCACTCTTCCTTAATACATTTACAAGATTATAATCAACATCGACTAATTCCTTTTTAATTCCATTGCAAGAGTAGGCCAATTTGTTTTCTTTTACTTACAGGACTCGGGTTTGGGCTCATCTTGGCACCTGCGCTAGTAATGCCGGGACTTTATTTTGAAAAGAAGCTTCCATTGGCCCTTGGTCTCAGTTCCTCCGGTTCGGGATTGGGATCCTTCATATTCCCAAACCTAATGAGATTTCTTCTGGATGAGTACTCTGTTGGCGGTTGTTTGCTCATCATGGGAGGAATTATGCTACATGTTTGTCCATTTGCTCTTCTTTATCGACCAACACTGTACTGGGAGAGGAAAGGTTACACACCAAACAAACCAAAACATTTTAGGTCAGAGAAAAATTATGTAGAGCATGCCGACGATGAAAAGTTTCAAGATGAAGAATGCAGTGCATTACTCTTAATTCAAAAAGGAGAAAAGGATGTAGAAAAATCAGGATCTATCTTAAAAAGTGCTTCTGTGTCAGGCATATATAAAACAAAATCTTTACCTTCTTTATCAATTATCCCTAATAAACACAGCATCACATCTTCCATCAGCGAAAGCAACATATCTTCGACGAAGAATGTTTCAAATTCAGAGATTTCAAAAAATAAATGTAAGCCATCCATTAAATCAAAGGGGTATGTACAAAAATTAGAAAAAACCCCGATCATAGACTGGGCGATGCTTAAGAATCCCTTATTTATTTTCACCAATATAGGTATCGTTTTAGCCATTTTCGCTCATCACAACGTGTTCAATTTTATCCCTTCCTTGGCAGACGAGCTCGGCTTTCTGGAATCTGAAGGAGCTTTGTGTGTTTCTATAGTGGGAGTTACCGATCTGATAGGAAGGGTCTCTGGTGGTATCATAGGAAACGCATGCTTTAAAAGAAGAATCAAGCTATATATAATTTGTCTGCTGGTATTTTCCACATGTTTAATGATTGTGGTCCATATAACCTATTTTTACGTCTTCATCGTTTTCTGCGGTGTTTTAGGATTCACGACAGGAGGGTATATCGGGGTACAGCTTGCTACAATTGCTGACGAGCTGGGGAGAGAGAACCTATCTACAGCTTGGGGATATATTGCCTTCTTCTCATCATTCTCCATTTTGATAAATCCTGTTCTCTCAGGTAAATGAATTGCAAAATTATATTTCTTATAAACAGTAGCGGATTTCATTTTTAAATCATCATACTACACAAATACAGTGCAGAACACAACCCGCTCAATGAAATGATAATGAAAGTAAGGACGTGTGAGTGATTTTTTTCAGTGAATTATTTTATTTTCATACTAATTGTTAGTCCATCATTTATAGACTGAATTGACGACGGATTTTTCCATTATTTTCCGATCATGACAAGGAGAACACGGTGGGAGTGACGTGTCAGCAGGGGATGCTCACTCCTCCATGACACCTGGTTGCACTTTTGATGTTTCGGGGGTCCATGTTTGCTCTGGTCTTATTTTGTTTTGTTTTATGGACTTTGGTATTGAATACAGTTCGTTATCTCCATATCTTCCTTTTCTTTATTCTAAAAAGGTGAAGATAACAAACAATGAACTTTTCTAAAAAATAAATTGCAAGAGACAGTATTAGTTTGTGAACAGGGCATAAGTCAAGGACCCTGGGAATTCCAGAGGTGAGATCAGGCGCCCTAGAGGAGAAAGCATCCCAAACTGACAGGTAACACTGAGTGAGTCCTGTATATCGATCAGGTAGATGGAACTTACCATAGACTAACAATTGGTATGAAAAAAGTCAGTCAAAATGAAACCCAGTGAGTATGATAGGTTATATTTGGATACAAGGTCATTATAAAGACCTCCCAACTGATAAAATGCTGACTTTAAATGACTATTGTACCAGGTTTGATTGTTTTATCAATTTCAGGTGCAATCAAAGACTACTCTGGGTCGTGGAAGAATGCGTTTAGATTGTCGTCTGCTTGTGGACTTGTAGGTACATGTGTTCTTTTCACAGAACTTATTGTTCGAAAACATTTACATAAGAAGTCTTAACATGAAGTTACATTATAAAATTGTTAAAAGATTCAAGATGAAATTTGCCGTCCAGTTTTTGCATTCAAACGTGTGCAAGGATTTAAAACAACTTAGATATATCTCAAACTGGACTAAGGTGTGCATTACATCTGTTTATTTGTGATTTAATTCTGTAAAATATTATTGATCAATAAAATTCTATGAGCTGGTTTTCTTTGGGAGCACTGTGTTCACTTGATACATTACTTGAATGTAATATATCGCTAGTTATTTTTTGATTAGGTAGATAAGATATTTATTTATTTTATTTTGTACATGTCTTGAGGCAAATTACATTATAAAGTAATGTGGTGCATCGCCAATACTTCAAGACGTAGAGCATTAAATTACCAACACTCGTATGTCTTAGGTTTTATGCATTACTTTATATTACTTCTTACAATGATGCAATACATAACCATTACTAGAAATATAAAATGATGGTAAACTTTCTCATTAACATGCACTCAGAGATACCTCTTCAAAACTAAATATAATGCTTGTGGATTGTTAATTCACATTTAAATTTTATTTCTAGTGTTTGTATTCATTATACTGTAAATAAGTGGAATATATCTTGATTATTCATAAGTATTTCAAACTTTTCTATAACTAATAAAATAAAACTTGTACAAATTTACTATTTGGGTAACAATTAATGTCATTGTAATTCAACTTTGAATTCACTCCTCCAAACGAGGTATTCTATCATGCAAAGATTGTTTTGATCTAAAACCTAATGAAAAGAAATAATAAATGCATTGACAAACTTGTAAAGGATGGCATGCAAAGTATCTCATTAACATTCAATAACAAAAACATCGCACAATTCAAATATAATGAAATACAAAATTATCATATACTTTAACAGCATACGCTTTGCCATCCAAACAATGTGTCAAGAATGTTTCCAGAGGTAGAATTTTTGCATGTGTTCAGAGAAAATCTAACTACATGTACATTTGTTACTACCCTTTATTAAATTTTAATGTAATAAATAAATAAATGGCTGTCATGCAAATAATCAAAACATTCTTTAAGTGTTTTTTTAAATAGTATGGGTGATGTTAACGTGTTAGACTTAAGTGTTAGATCTTTAAATGCTCCAACTTTGTACGTTAAAGTAATTTCAAGGCATTATGCTTTTTAAAAAAAGATATGATCAGTCGGAAATAGTGGAGTAGTTAAAGTTTCTTGAAGTAAATTTGCTCTTCTCGTTCAAACAACATTGGGTTTTTTCTTCATAAATTTTACTTCGACGTGAAAATAAAATTTGAGTACAGGAGATATTAGCGTCAAACTCATGAATATACATGTAAATATCTATCAGTTGATCATTTCTAGACAATTGAAAGCCACTATTATCAGTCTCGATTTTAGTTATCATGATTATTCCATAAGTTGATCAAATTATTATTACAATGGAAAATAATGAAATCAATAACAGAGTTCAATTAAATGCAATTAATTGCACTGAAGATTGAGTATATATCAGTACAAGAAACTATTCCCTGGATTTTAGTACCGTGATATAGACGATTAGAAAGGAATATCTGCCCAGCGATGATGATACAGCATTCTATATTGAGCTGCTGACAGTGGTCTATTATGTGCACGTTCTGCGCTCTTCTTTTTAGGAGGTGCTGATGATTTGGGGCGTGTTTGAGGTCGTTTCTGTTTGGGAGATTTCGTTTTCGGGCCTGGTGACGGATGACGTAATGGCCAGAAATAAACTTCCCTTTTTCTTCGCCTGCGCTTGTGAAGGTTTTCCTTGTCCTTTTTCTTTTTTGTATCAGATTTATCCTCTAAATTTAAAACAGTCTCTAATATGTTACTTTCTCGACTTTTCTCCTGTTCTTCGGTCTTTTCTTCGGTTTTCATAGTACTGGGCATGTTATCTTCAGCTCTAGTATTAATGGCGGTAGTTTTAGATTCCTTTGATGCAACAATATCACGTGATCTTGAATGCTTAGTTTTTCTTGAATTTTGATTTAATACTTTTGTTTCCTCTCCAGACTCTTTATTGTTTGTCTCTGTCATGTACTTTTCTGTTGTTTGCGTCTTTCTGCTCTTCATCTTGACGCCCACTGTAGAAACACTTTTCTCTGATTTAGATATTAGCCCTGAGGTGTATGTTTGCATGTTTACTCGCTTTATAAGTCCACTGGTAAGAGTTCTGACATGGTAATGCTTCAATTTTGTTTGAGTGCCCACTCTACGTGACCTCGATATAACATCAGCCTGCACCCCTTGATCCGATTTTCGTTTCTCCTCTGACATTGTAAGCAAAGCATTTTCATTTACCTTCAAAGGCACTGATTCTCTACCTGTTGGTACCCCAGCTGTTTCGGTACTGCGTAGTTGCGTATACTCTTGCGATAACTGTTTGATTTTATCTGTTTGCACTTCCTTGCTTACCTGTGTATACTCTCGCGATACCAATGTAATTTCATCTGTTTGAATTTTCTTGTGACTGGTGAATATATGAGTTGCTGCTTCTGTCCGGTCGGGTATTGGAGAGAGGATACAGCTTTCTTCTACTCCTATCTGTACATCAGTCATTACCTCCATGTCCTTCAGTTCAGGTCTTGAAGAAGACATTAGTGAAACTGACCTGTTTTGTTGTATGCTTTCCTTACCTAATAATGAATCCTTAGTTTCTTCTGAGGTGTCTTTTGATATGTGATGTTCCTCGTTTGTCTGAGACTCTTTTTCGAGTACGTTTATTATAGGTTTTTCGGTTTCACATGCTTTATCCTCATATTCTCGTTTGTTTTCGTTTCTATAACTTTGAAGGGGTCCTGAGAATTCATCAGTTTGTGATTCCGCTGAAGTCAGGTCTGGTTCAGTTTGTGTCTCTCTTGATTCTGTATCAATAGGTTTACGTTGCCTTTTACCTTTTCTATCCTCAGTATCAGATTCCTCATCCTCCGACTCTTCATCGTCCGTACTTTTGTCACTCTTTTCGTCTTCACCATCGTCCGAATCTTCGTCAGAATCATCATCGGTGTTTTCCTCCTCACTTCCTTTCTCGTCGTCACTTTCTTCTTCTGAATCATTTTCCTCGCTTGAATCGTCTTCGTCGTCGTCCTCTTCCTCCTCTTCTGCCGAGGAATGCTGGGATTCTTCACTGTCCGAATCGGACATGCTGGCCTGGTTTCTGTTTTCTCGATATACGGTATCGGTATCCAATGATAACAAGCCGTCAGTTTTGTAGATATGCCAAAGGTATATTGTTCCCTACTCTGACAAAAGGTCCTCTATTCAGCTTTAAAAGCGGAAGAAATTACGTCAGCGATCTTTAGTTTAAGTGCTTGCAGAGTGTTTTATACAAGACATATTCAAGACATATCAATACACATGTGGCTCAATGGTGCCTCAAGGTTTGCATTGTAGGCAATTTAAATAATCGATCCTCCTTTTTAACTATCATATACTTTTAAACTACCCGCAGACACGAAATGTAACGTCTCAAGTTTGAAAAGGTGCATTGTTTTGAGTCTTTCAAAATTAAAACTTCGAATACCTTACCTGTCTTATAGATTTCGATCGCCAACCTGAAAACAGCACGATCACAAATAGAGGTGTCCCTTTAAACAAATTACATTCATAGTTCTTCACCATTTAATTTACCGTGTTGACAGCAGAATCATTAGATTTTACTGGTTTTGATAAGGCTAGTGTGTCGTTGCTCTTTGAATAATTTGAAAAAGAAACTATTTCTACATCTTTAGTTATAGCATGATAATTTCAAATTGTTCGCCATTTCTATATCGTGTTTTATTAAACGTAGCATTTATGGCTAGCTACTTTGGGTGAAAAAATTAAATTATGAAAAAAGAAAATAAGCAGCTTTTTTACAATAGACTCTTTCTAAAAATACTTATTATTGGTTTTTCAAATTAAAACGTGAAAAAAAAATCATTTTTAAAATGTACTTTCATAATTAGATACATGTCAATTAGTTTATGCAAATAATTAATTCGGTCCGCAAATTTTCCATCTGTAAATCATTATAAGGTTGTAGCCAATTATTACTTAAATTTATTTTTTTAATTAGTACACGTTATTATCATTAAACAAAGTAGCATAATCACCGATTATTTCATTTTTAGTTGATAGAAATTGAAAACAAAGGGTAGCAATTGCTAAGAGACAAGTAAGCTAGACTACGACCCAGTAATAGATTGTATATGCTAATAAGTTAATTATATGCTCTTCAGTAAACAAATTAGCACACATAATTTAAACAACATATGCAGGTGAAAGCGGAAATATAACTATTACATAATTTAATTGATAGTAAAATAAATTTTATATTTCTGCAAATGAGAAGCCGTTCTTAGTTCTTCTCTCACTTTTTTATGTAAATTTCAATCAAAAGAGAACAAATATATTCAATATATTACAAAGCTGAAAAAACAATATGAAGACGACGAACAATATTGAAGCTCAAAAGTCCATAGAAAGAATTCGAATAGAGCATAGCAGACACGGACCTCTAAACACAAGGGGTGGGATCAAGTGTCATAGAAAAATAAATAGCTTTGTGATCATATTTCTATTATATAAATAAGTTCTTACAATATTTTTTCCAAGCACATTTCTATTATATAAGTAAGGTCTTACAATATTTTTCCAAGCACATTTCTATTATATAAATAAGTTCTTACAATATTTTTCACAAGCACATATCTTTTTTCTATTTTTACTAAGAAAGTACACTGTGAAGAAATAACGTTTGAGATAAGGATCCCTCCCCCAAAAAATAGTTAATTAGACAAAGTTTTGTGGATTTAGGTTTATCAGGTCAAAGCAATATTTGGAACATCATTACAAGTATCTGAGACCAGAAGATATTATAGTTCGCTATATTTACACTTAGCTATGTTTATTACCAAGTGTAGTTGAGGCGAGCGGTAATGCTGGTTAAAGCTTTAAATAGAAAGATATATATGGAGATAATGAACAGTATTTAAGCTCAAAAGTATATTAAACAATACAAAATAGGAGCAGAAAAAACATGGACGGCCATGAATGAGTGAGCATCTCCTGCCGACCAGTCGCATCTTCTGGTGCTCTTTGTCGTGACCCGAGGAAAAATCCGTCGACAATTCAGTGTGTATATAATTGCCTAATAGTTAACGTAACTATGAAAAAGATCAGTCAGTTTTTGACTTGATGATAAATTGTATCTGCAGACAAGGTCATTGTTTCGACCATGAGCACACGGCGGGTGTGACCGGTCGGCAGGGGATGCTCACTCCTCCATGGCACCTGATCCCACCTCTGATGTTTCGGAGGTCCGTGTTTGCTCTGCTCTTATTTTGTATATTTGTTTAATGGACGTTGAGATTGAATACTGTTCGTTATTTCCATATCCTTCTAACATCTTTTTCAAGTAAAATATCTATGAAACAAATGTGTCAGACTCTGTGGTATATTTTACTTCAAGCTCACCGGGATACATCGTATCGACATGGAAATGAGAATGGAAATATTAATCATTGTTAATTGAAAATGCATCGTAGATATATCTAAATATCGAGTTGAAGGCCATGACAAGTGTTTTCGTCTTTTCTATTCACTTACGTATAAGATTTTGTACAAATTCTGCTTCATACATGTATGAAAACTAAAATATGAATCTCGTGATAAACAGTTTAGAAGTAATGTCACTGAACTACATGTTTATTGAACACCTCCTGACTAGGTTTACTACCAGAGTTAATGTCGGCTATAAATTTAGGATCCTACGAAAAAAAGTTGCAGCTAGTGGTTATGACAGGTAAAGTAAGATCTTGTGGCTGGCAGTTGCAGCTAGCGGTAATGAATCTTTGCTATATTTAGAATCTCGTGACTGATATTTGAGGCCATCGATAGTGATATAACATCCGATATTGAGCCTGAGACACGGCAGTTCCATGTCCTTTAAGAATCTTGTGAGATTGACAAACACGGCGAACTGTCATCATGTCACGTGACAAGAGGTTGAAAGTGGAACAAAGTCTCGTCTTTCGTTTTGTTTTCTTTAACAGGATCGGATCCTGCCTTTTCTCTTTTGTAGAGTCATTTAAATTTCCAATGTTTCTTTGAAGCGATTTGTTTCTGGCCTTTTTCAACTTGTGTGGAATTCTTTCTTCTCTTATTTTAATATCCATTTCAATGAACTTGCGATTATTCAATTTATTACAAGGAATACCTTTCTCCAGATCGATCTGGATACTTTCAGCAGAAGATGTTTCAGATTTTATACTTCCATCCAGATATTTTTCATTCGTCTTCGCCTCGTCTTCGGTTCCCTCTTCTTCTTGAACCAGATTTTCTATAAGTGTCAGCAGAGTTTCTGGTTGAGTCGAAATTGTCTTATTGGGATGCTGAGTCGCCGAAACTCGTGGACTTGAATCTGGTTTTGTATTTTCTGAAGTTGTCATATCGGGGTTCTGGCTTGTCAAAATACGTGGATTTGAATCTGTTTTTGTAATTTCTGATGTGATATTGGGGCTCTGGCTCGTCGAAATTCGTGGACTTGAATCTGTTTTTGTAATTTCTGATGTTGTCATATCAGGATACTCAGTCGCCAAAAATTGTTGACTTAAGTCAGTCACAGTAACTTCCTCAGATGATGATTCCGTCATATCAAAGAGTAATCCATCGGTTTGTGTTTCTTGGGAATATTGAATTACAGAATTGCAAAGGAATGCATCGGTTTGTGTAGTCTTTTGGGAATACTTTGAAATATGACTGTCTATAATATCGTCAACAATCCCTTCTGTAATTTCTGATGTTGTGATATCGGACTGCTCAGTAGCCGAGACGAGTGGACTTAAATTTTTCTGTGTAGTTCCCTCGGATGTTGATTTCGTCATAATATAGAGGAATCCATCGGTTTGTGTGTTTTGGGAAGATTGGATTAAAGGATTACTAGACAACGTATCAGTTTGTGTAGTCTTTTCAGAATATTTTGAAAGCTGGCTTCCTGCAATATTGTCGACATTTTTCTCGGATTGTATACAAGGTACCGGATGGTGACCTGAATGATCAAGGTCTACGAAATCTGTCTGTGTACTCTCATTGTAAGACACGCTCTTAGATTGACTCATCACTGCTTCTTTGTTTGTTCTATTATTCTGGAAGGAGAAAGCGTACATAGTCCCCTGTACATTGTCAGCTTCCAGTATTTCATCGCATTCTTCGACAGATTCCTCCTTTTTAACTTCAAAGAATTCCTCTATCTCTACTTTTGACATGGTCAATTTTCCTTTCACGACCTCTGTGTTCGTACCGACATCTATCGTTACTGTGGGTTTCTTTTCAGAATCCGAGTCACTTTCCTCTGAAGCGCTGTCCTCAGCACTTTCATCAAGATCATATCTCTTCATGTTTAACGAGTATTGTGAGGTTTCTTCACGGTTCACATCCCCCTTGTTTCTTTGCCCTGTGTGATGAGGATCTATTGCCTTGTGAACGAACTCTCCACTATCAGAATCATTACTAAATGAACTTTTATCATCATCATCGTCGTCGTTGTCGTCGAAGTCAGAGCTGTTGTAAGATGAAGATTCTTCAATTGGGGCTTCATCATTGTAAGTTGATTCTTCAGAATCTGTGTCTTCATTTACCTCATCGTAACTAGCCTCACTTTCATCGTCATCGCATTTATTATCAGTTAATTCCTCAGCACTGCTGGAATCTGACGATTCTTCTGAAGGATACTGGGTTTGTTTGTTACGATCTTCAGACATCGTTAATTACCACATACCCTTGTTATTCAATAAACTTATAACTCAACACACAGAGTCGTTATCCTTATCGTTACTTAAAGTTAAAACAAACATTTTACTTTGATTTCTTTCTTATCTATTGCACCCCGTACTTAAATACAACAATCCACATGTGCACTACCAGGAACAAACTTTAAGATGTTTACTTATTTGATAAAACCGTCAGAAAATCGATTTCATTGCAACTTATGCAAGAGGCGGGAAATAGTGGTCATGGGTATTGGTATTGGCAGAGTATTACCAACTTCTCGTCGCCTGCCTGGCGCACTGGTGAGAACGTTTGCTATAGAGTTGCATATAAGAAGTTATTGCTGACATCGTGGGTAACAAATCCCACTGCGGGACAAGCAAACCAGTCCTTCAGATGAGACCAATTATGAAACCAAGGCTATATCGCAGTAGGTGCTGGCAAGAAAAAGATTTCTCATTGTTATACCCCCCAAACAAAAATGTTTCTTAACAAATCATGCCAAAATCACACACAAATCATATCAAACTCACGAATTCATGGTTTTGAACTATGATTTAGACATGATCCATTAAATGGAACATACAGAAATCATAGATGACAAACAAGGAAGTATGATCCTGATGTGGTTTGTTTCTGGGCTATGAGTCTGCTATGATTTTCTTGCGATTCTGGCATGTGTCATTAACTTAGAAAACAAAGGAACATGAGTTTGAAATGATTCCTTAATTTTAACTGCAAAAAAGTTTGTGATTTTGATATGGTTTCTTAACTTTGTCTTTACACTCCATACGAGTTACACATGATCTGTTAACTTCTCTGTTGAGAATCATGAGTTTAATATGATTTGTTAACTTTGTCAGAATTGGTTGTATGATCCTGATATGGTTTGTTGACTTTGTCATCTTTGATAGGTTAAAACGCAAGCTTCAAATTCACTCTAGCTTGGAGAATCAAACAACATGCAAACATCAAAATTATAATAGCCATATTTAAAAGAGAACAGGAAAATTAAGTTTTAATTAAATGCATACAGCATGTACAGGTAGGAACAAAGACAATTTTTTTTAAATTGAATGAAATAACAAATAAATAAATTCAATAACTTGTTAATAAATTAGCTAGCACACAAGTATACTGTTCAAATAACGCAGACAGGATTTAAAAAAAAATCTTTCTCTTCATATAATATTTGCGATCCACTCCCAATCTAACTCTGAGGCATTGAATTAGGATTTGCTTACTGGTCAGTTTCAGAGTCATAGTAACCTTGTTATCCAATTCTCCTGCTGGTCAGCATGTTGTATGTGTAGTGGTTTGCAGCTTATCTAGGTCAACATTTGAATTCTGATAAACAAGATGTGCGCGTTTTCTTGTTGCCGATTTAAAAGAAAAGACGTTGCATCATATAAGCAACAAAAATAAGTGATGGACTATTAACTCTACTCGGTGAGTATAATTCATTAATTTTATTATTGATCTTTTTAAAGATTTCTATAGCTTCTACCAGAATATGATTTAATTTTCTTTGTATGTGTGGAAGATACACGATCACCAAAGCTTTACATCCATGGGTTTGAATTGAAAACTTGATTTTAGCTTCAAATTTACCCCCTTGATTCAAATATTTGTTGAACCTGTTTAATGTAAATCGTTATATAAAATGTTTATTTATAAAAATGCAATTCTTTTGCAGCTACTGTCAGGTCCATCTTCATGATCAACATCTGAGTTAAACTTTCATTCAAAATGCCACATTCGAAATTTAAGACCCGCCTTTGATGAAGACAAACTTTGCGTACGTAAATTATATTACTTTTCAACAATATTATTCTAGTGGTTATTAATCTAATTCTTTAAATTAATGAACATGATGAAATCTGGAAAGTACTTGCATATATATTCATATGTTCATAGCTAAAGATAATTATATGTTGATCGATGAATAAACACCATTTTCTCTACGTTTCTTTTCAGGGTGTTACACAAAAAAGAGCTTAATATCAGAGGATAAACTTCTTAATTGTGTGCCTTTTCAGTGTTTGTTTGTTTCAGTAACAGATCCACCACTCTGCTGATTTTATAGTGAACAAATGTTGGAATTACATGGTTTGGCAGAATCATAAGTAAGCAGTGAAATCAATGAATGCCGAATCATTTTAAGAAAAGAAAGGATTTCTGTGATTCTGTTCGTATAAAATTCTGTGAATAGTCTGGATGTTTTAATTATAAATTGTCATCTGATTAATGAAGATCATTGTTCGGATTATATTTACACGACGTCATAGTTCAAGTGACATCATGGACATACCGGTATGTGTATATAACATTTTTGAAGAAGTTTCCCCATTATATCACAAATATAATATTTTTATCCATATGCCCTGAAAAACTGCCGAATCACGCCGGATACTGTTATGTTCCCCGGAAACAGTTATGTTGCCCTCCCGAACACAGTTATGTTCCCTCGCGTGCAATCATTCTGCATATATTAATTACGTCGGGTTCGAAATTCACAGAGGCAGTTGCCAAGCAAACGCAAAAAGTTCCGTAAAAGTTAAAAAGTCGAGACAACGTCTGCGATTTGTTTATTTGAATTCAGAGGAATTAGATAATTTAATTGAGGAGAAAAATTCTTTAAATACAACAAAGGTTATCAACAAAAGTGTCAGCATACTAAAACATTCTGCCATGAAACAGGACGGGATATTTGAATTATTTCAGAATCATTCTCAACGTATACATATGTGTACATAATGTTCAGTAAATACGTTCGATGATCGATTTTGGGTTCAATGCTTAAAAATGTTATATACCATATATTACATGGCTTAATTCTCGGGCAGCAATACCAGAATATTTGCCCCCTCTGCCTGCGGCATCGGGCGACATAACACTCCAGGGCTTTCCTGTCACCGAGGGGCAAATATTCTGGTATGCTGCCCTCGAAGCCATGTAATATATGTATAATATTTTTTTTTATTTTGGTAACTGAAATTATACATCAAATATTAAAGGGATCCTTATTGCAAATACCAAAGTGTTAAGTTTAATTGTATAAGAAGTATAATTTTCCTATGAGTTGTTAGCTTTAACAGATCATACCAGGATCATGATTTTGATACGAGTTGTAAGCTACAACAGATTATACCAGGATCATGGTTTTAATACGAGTTGTTAACTACAATAGATCATACCAGGATCATGGTTTTAATACGAGTTGTTAACTACAATAGATCATACCAGGATCATGGTTTTAATTCGAGTTGTTAGCTACAATAGATCATACCAGGATCATGGTTTTAATACGAGTTGTTAGCTAAGATAGATCAAACCAGGATCGTGGTTTTCTTGCTAGTTGTTTAGTTTAACAGATCATCTCAGAACCATGATCCATGAGCTCATTTGCATGTGAAATTTTCCTACACCGAAATCATATCAAAACCATGATTTACACACGAGTCATTAGCATGATCCCTTTGGCTGTTTTTTCTGTATGGGGGTCCCGCTTGAAAAGCGGGAGGGTATATAGTAATCGTTAATTCCGTCCGTCCGTCCGTCCGTCTGTTACGCTTTAGGGTACCTATCTCTTATCCGCAACTCCTCTTATACCACTGAGTGAAATTTAATGAAACTTTCACAGAATCTTTATTACATATTGCCATTGTGCACCTCCTATTTTACTTTTTGATCTGACACATATTTTGGGTTTCCCGGCCATGGCAAATCATGGACTTTGTCATCAGTTATAACCATATGGGAGGCGGGGGGTATCATTTAGTGAGCTCATTGCTCACAGTACCTCTAGTTTAAAAATGCAGCATGTGGAGTACAGGATTGTGTACGTTTGCAGCCCTCAACTGGTAATTTATGGCGTCTCAATATGTGTAAAATTCTCGAAAATATGATAAACAGACTAAGCAAACAACTTTCTGTAGGGAAAAGAAATACTTGCCAGTTTTGCAATCAAGCTTTGTTTGTAAAAATTTCTCGTCACAACTGTATCATTATTATTTACATGTATTTATGCAGAATATTTCTATAAGTGCAAAAAATAAAGATATCTTGAGAGTAATGGCTTGTTTACAGTATATTTTGAGAGAGAATGGGAGTGAGAGATGTAATTTTTTTTCTCTTTTTTTCGAAAACAAACACGTATAACTTTTGCTATTACTTACAAGAATTTTAAAAACTTAAGGTTCATTGATACTCTGATAAGAGAGATAACTCTTAATGACATTAATGTCTATCATTCCTTTATCAGGTCTGGACGATTTCTAAATATGGAAGTCAAGAATGATAACGGAAAGTTGCTATAAATGTACATCAAGTACACGTAATTATTTTTTCTGTCCAATCAGACAACAGCATTTTTACACACCCCAAAACATATTTTAAAAGAACAAAAAGATAACACGTGCTTTTGTTTTTTTCCTCAATAAGATTTTTTTTAACAAAACATCTGTAGAAGTAAGATTTTTACCGTGAACAACCTTGACATTTTTATCTCGGTAAAGAAAAAAAATATGCACGATAGAATGTAATCGTTGACAGAGGTATAGATTGTACCAGCAAGTTTTTATCAAGTTCAATTATAACATTTACCAGAATATATTATATGATGGTAAATATAATTTTGCTTAGCCGTCCGATTTTCATCGATAATGCTTTAATTCCATGTGTATAGATCAACTCACACAAGTGTTTATCGTATGGACTACACACATATAGTTTTGAATTATCATGGGTTTCATGAGCGCCGAATACTTAGCTATGCAGAATTTAAATGGGTATAAGGAAAGGCGTATAACGTGGAGAAAAGAGAATCCTGTAATTATACATGAATGCGTTTTATCCCATGCCTCGCATATCAGAAACTGCATGGACTACTAATATTCTGTAATAAACACTCAAAAATAATAAAGACTGTTATCTTTTCGATAAGATCTTTATGTCAGGCTCTAAAAACTGAAAATTTACCATATTTATATCAATTTTTTAACGTAAGTTAAACCTCATTTGGAATTGCTACCTCCTAGAGACAGATTTTTTTTATTCCACTTAAAACGTATTCTAAGCTTTCAAGTCGTGTTTGTTCACGGTTGAAATTTCATAAATATTATATTATTCCCAAATGCGCATAAAATTTACAAAAAGTTTGTTCTAAAAAAATCTTTTGAGCAAAAAACTTAAAAACCACGTGTTTTATTTATTTTCTCATGGGTTTGTTTAAATGCTTTTATCTGATTGGTCAGAAGGATTAGTGCCTTGTTATACCCCCCGCTTGAAAAGCGGGAGGGTATATAGTGATCGGGATTTCCGTCCTTCCGTCTGTCTGTCCGTCCGTCTGTACGTCCGTCCTTCCGTCCGTCCGTCTGTTACGCTTTTTCTCTTATCCGCAACTCCTCTTATACTACTGAGTGAAATTTAATGAAACTTTCACAGAATCTTTATAACATATTGCCATTGTGCACCTCCTATTTTACGATTTTATTAAACACGTATTTAAGGTTTCCCAGAGCAAAATATGGACATTGCTATTTTTTGTTTACCTGTGACGTCACATAACAGAAGCTTCTGGATAATATTTGATAGGACGAGTTATTCCTCTTTACACATTACCGTAAAACAATATGAAGCAACACATCGACATTATGGGAGGCGGGGGGTATCATTTAGTGAGCTCATTGCTCACAGTACCTCTAGTTTATTCTGTGTATTAATAGCAATTCACGGTTATCGTTCTTTACTTCCTTATTTAGAAATCGTCCAGACCAATCGCAACTTCTCGGGCCTTTCCGACTAGCGGAAAAACGACCTCGAATGTATATGGTAGCCGCCATGACAACCCTCCTTTTTCATGATCTTGGAAATAAATGCATGGAGACCTTTTATCTGTGGAATATGGAGTTTAACTTTATTCAATGTAATGATATTACCTAAAATAAACCATAGAAGGGACTTCTAACTCCGTCTATCCTATATTTGATTAAACAGGAAATGTATAAATTTTTAACATCCGGTGATGTTAATACATTCGAGGTTGTTTTTCCGACCTCTGACGGAAAGACCCGAGATGATGCGATTGCGTCCAGACCTGTTTATAGATTTGGCCAGTTGAAGTGTCTTTTTTGTCCAATTTTGCCCGCAAGCTTTACTATAATTATTATACCCCCCGCTTGAAAAGCGGGAAGGTATATAGTAATCGTTAATTCCGTCCGTCCGTCCGTCCGTCTGTACGTCCGTCTGTCCGTCCGTCTGTTACGCTTTGGGGTACCTAGCTGCAATAATGTAGCCCTCTCCCTTCTTTTTTTTCTTTTTTTTTTTTTTTTGGGAGAGGGCTACAACTCCTTAGGATCTTTCTAATGGCGCAGCTGCGGGAGTGATTTGCTCCCGCACGGATTTCGGCTCAAATTAACAGTAAATGGCTATTTTATTAACATTTCTTACCTTGACTCCAAATTAGTAGTCATCCAAGACGTAAACCAATGCAAAAATATACAGAACGATCCCTATATCGCTTATTTTTCGTGTATGTCAACATCACAACTCGAATTTATCCGCCATGTTTACTGACCTTGATAGATTGTATTTTGGGACAGCCAATGAGAATTTAGGTTCTATAGGAGCGGATCTTTTTGGAATTCCCTTATTTTAAACATAAATATCGCTGCTTGCATAAAAATAACACTTAAAATGGTTTTATATATCTATGTTTTTGTGATGAAATTCAGCACATACATTTATAAACACCGATAATTGCTTTATTCAGTTGTTCTAAATTTCAAGCGAAAGTCTCATTACGTCACACGTGAACTGTCATGGCTGCTGAAGTAAACTACCAGGAAACATGCAGAGTTATTTTACAAGTTTTTCGCATTTAACGGGGTCTACTGTTGACAGTGAATAAAAAATTCGTCTTATTAGAAGTAAGTTGAATGTAAAAATAATTTATTTTGCCTGCAGTCGCTCCTATTAAAAAAAAATATTTGCACCATTACGAAGATGCGATGGAATTGTAGCCCTCTCCAGAAAACATCAGATTAAAAAAAATCGGAGAGGGCTACATTATTGCAGCTATGGGGTACCCATCTCTTATCCGCAACTCCTCTTATACCACTGAATGAAATTTGATGAAACTTTCACAGAATCTTTATTACATATTGCCATTGTGCACCTCCTATTTTACTTTTTGATCCGACACATATTTTGGGTTTTCCGGCCACAGGAAAACATGGACTTTTTCACCAGTTATAACCATATGGGAGGCGGGGGGTATCATTTAGTGAGCTCATCGCTCACAATACCTCTAGTTTGTATTTTACTTATAAAGCACATTTCAAGCAGCATTTTATTTTAGAGAGAAGAGGGTTTATGAACCTTAATTCAACCCAATTTATGCCAAATGGAATTTCTATGTTTGAACAGGTCTCAAACATAACACTTCATTTCAAAAATAAAGTAACACAACCCTTGGAAATTATTCATTGCAAATTAAATCAATTTGCTATTAGCATAAGTTTATTTTGTGTCCCATGGATTAATCACCTTCATGACCAGTAATGAGTATCCATAACATACAAAAAAAAAACAATATAAATAGCACTATTTATTATCAAGCATTACATGTACCATGATAGAGAAATGTCATTTTTTCCCAGTTAAGCCCCATCTGTCTTCCTTGTTAAATGAAGAGAGTTGGGTGCAGATACTTTAAAGATTCTTTCACAGCACTTTCCTCGAAATTTGTCATTAATAAAGAGAATTGACATATTATACAAAAAAAATGTTTTCAAAAATCAAATGTGAATTACAAGTTAACATCTACTAGTATGCAATACATGATAACTCTGGTCTGTAACTTTTCATCTTTCAAATTTGTTCAAAATAAATATTACACATGCTGTTAACAACACATCAAAATTGATATCTAACATTTGTTCATCATTTTTATAAGTAAATTCATGATAACTCCATTTTACACTTAATGGAATATATACTGTAGTATATATGTTTTCCGATTTCTCCACTTAAAGAAAACTTTTTAAGTAAACTGATGTTAAAAGTATTGCTTTCTTTGCATATTATTTTTTCTAACTTTACATGTAGTTTACTCTTCACAAAACTAATACAAGTACATGTGCAAAACAAACTGATTCAAAAATGTTAACATCAGAGAAACTTGTGCTTATTGTTTATCTTAAATCTAATCTATTATTTCTTGAAATTCTGATTTCATCCAAAGCAAGAATTTAGTGTAATGAACACTGCAAGTTATTTCCCCCCTAGTCAGTGAAACAATTTCTTTAAGAATATTGCACAACAAAACATCCACCAAGCGGACAGAATTTCTCTTCAGCCTCTACACCTCAGTAAATAATTTATCTAAATCCCACACTAAATCAGTGAACGAAGGCCGAGTGGATTTCTTTTAATCGTGTTGGCTGGAGATTAAGCGGTATTATCTCCCCTTGTCCTGACTTGGTTGGTATAGATATACGCCCTATCAGCTGGCTCTCCGCGCTCTTCTCATGTAACATCTGTTAAAAAATATACATTTCAGATTGTTATAGAACATACAATATATCATTCTATAGATTTCATAGACTGTAAAAATAACTATACTGGCCATTAGAGACTTCAAAGTTAATAATTTACAATATTTACAATATATATGTAGATTTCAAAGAATGATTAAAAAAACCTGGCAGTGCATAAACTTTATCTTTAAGACTACAATATGTATTTGTACTCTACAGCTATTGATGAGTTAAAATTCTGAAGGGAAAAAAAACCTTTTGGAACAGTCAAAAGCTTCAATTTTTGAAGATTTATAATCAGCATTATTTTTTAATCTTGTTTTAAATTTGTGACTCACCCTGGCGAACTCTGGGGTGGGGAATGTTGACAGGTCGGTCCTGACCTGTCCCCCCGTTCTGTTAGCAGCCAGGAGGTTGGTGATCTGGACTTGTAGCTGTAAAGGGAAAACAAAGGTCATTAAATTTATAACTCAGGATGATTTAGCTTCATAAAACATTTGTTCAAATTTTAATGATCCTATTATTCAAATATCTATTTAATCCTATTTGAATAATAATGACACAGATATTGTTACAAGTTAGTTGCTTTTCATCGAACTCTTTGATTCTTTAAGTCATTTTTTTTTTGTTGTTGTTATTAAAACCTTAAAGGTTCCATTCAAAGCTTCAGCACTGCACTGAATGAAGAATTAAAACTCCTTATCTCAAACTTAACTGGACTGATGAGAACCCTCCTGACTTTCAAGATATTGAGGGTAAACATACTTGAAGAAAAAGGGCATGTAATTCAAAATCACTTTGACATATCCATGCTATTCAAGATAATTGAAGTTCAGCTGTATATTCTTTGATGAACATAGTTCAATTAATAAGACTTGATGTTATGGCTTGTACTAACCTGTTGAGTTTTCTTCTCCATTAAGGTCAGTCGAGCAGTTCTGGCCACCAACTCACGCGCCGGGTTACTGGTCTCTGTCAAAGGCTCATGTCCTGAGAACAATGGACACAAAAAGAGTCAAAATAAACTTACATACCTAACTTACACTTTATCTATAATAATACCTAACTTACACTTTATCTATAATAATACCTTAATACCTAACTTACACTTTATCTATAATAATACCTAACTTACACTTTATCTATAATAATACCTAACTTACACTTTATCTGTAATAATACCTAACTTACACTTTATCTATAATAATACCTAACTTACATTTATCTATAATAATACCTAACTTACACTTAATCTATAATAATACCTAACTTACACTTTATCTGTAATAATACCTAACTTACACTTTATCTGTAATAATACCTAACTTACACTTTATCTGTAATAATACCTAACTTACACTTTATCTGTAATAATACCTAACTTACACTTTATCTATAATAATACCTAACTTATACTTTATCTATAATAATACCTAACTTACACTTTATCTATAATAATACCTAACTTACACTTTATCTATAATAATCCCTAACTTACACTTTATCTATAATAATCCCTAACTTACACTTTATCTATAATAATCCCTAACTAACACTTTATCTATAATAATCCCTAACTTACACTTTATCTACGATAATCCCTAACTAACACTTTATCTACGATAATCCCTTACTTACACTTTATCTATAATAATCCCTAACTTACACTTTATCTACGATAATCCCTAACTAACACTTTATCTACGATAATCCCTTACTTACACTTTATCTACGATAATCCCTAACTAACACTTTATCTACACTTTATTTTTTGGTCCCCCAAAAACACGTTGCCATCCTGGAGTTTTTTTTAGTTAAGGGTAGGAAAATTTTTTTCTGGATTTTTTATTTATTTATTTTTTTTTTTGACGATTAAAACTTCAGACTCCTGTGCTATAATAATACCTAACTTACACTCTATCTATAATAATCTGGATTTCACGGCATCAGGTATCTTCAAAAAATTCAAATAAGCTGGAAATATGACTTGGTGAAACAGTAAAGTTTATAGTACATTACTGTTTATCTTGATATGAACCATTAGTTTATAGTTCATGACTGTTTATTTTGATATGAACCATTAGTTTATAGTTCCTGACTGTTTATCTTGATATGAACAATTAGTTTATAGTTCATGAGTGTGTACATCTTGATATGACCAATAATTTGGCTTTAACATCAAAAGTGGTCAATTTCCTGTTTATACTTGGTAATCTGACATTCATCCTACAAGTAAATAAATGGTCCTCGACTGGTTTTACTTAATAATCTGATAATTTTACCTATAAATTTAAACTTCCCTTACCAGGCTTTCGTTTGGTGATATCAATAACTCTAGGGCAGGCACACATCATATTCACTTCCTAAAACAAAGTCAAATTTTATTAACTTTTGATTTTTAATAAGCATAAAGTAAAACTGACAAAGTACAGAAATCATTCATAGTATACCTGTTCATATAAAAAGCTCTAAGATTCAACATACATTAGCTAATTCACTCTTCAACTTTTTGAATTTCCTTCTCAAAGTAGAGTATTAAATGGTGATTAGTGCATACTCTGTATATATACTTCAACAATCTGCTTTTTGAGAAAGAGAGCTCTTACCCCCAGCAGTTTAACTGTGTCCTTGCGGAGACTGGTCAGCTGATCTCTCCCTGTCGCGTCCTCTGGTAAATCTTTGGTCACACCAGGAGTACTGGACAAACCCACAGACTTCTTGGGAACTCTCAAGGGAGGTAATTTAGCCATTTGTTCCTGAAAAATTTTATTATAATTTTCTCTTTCTCTAAATGGGGGGTAAAATATCTCTATCTTAATTAATTCTCTGAATAGTTTATTCATCAAATATATAACATTTATCATCATGATGTTTTTAATGGACAAGGAATTGAGATATGTTCTAAAGTAGAAGAACACAAATTAGAAATGTTATTCTTAAATAGAATGAAAATAGTCAATCATGGCTTTAAAATTCCAGGTTCAGTTCACCTCAGGCTGCCATAGTACATAACGTTAATCAAAACTGCTCAACACAGATCTAGAAGTAGATTCTTTTTATTTGGAGGTGGGTGGGAAGAATTTAAGTCTCACCTTCATTTTGTCTGACTTCAGTCTAATGTTCTCATCCTTTACTGACTTCAAAGCCTCTCTCAGTGAAGTGATCTGTAGAAAAGAAATATCAGTTAAAAGATTTAAACCTTCAGTTAAATTAAACACCAATTTAAGTTATTTAATTTTTTTCTATCTTTTTTGAGGAAAATGATTTTAAGCAGTTGTATTCTGGATTAGTTACTTTCATTACCTATTTAAAAAATCATCATTCATTTGTATTTATAAAACTCTTTGACATCTACCGGTAATTCCAATATATAAAAAAAAAAATTAAACTTTCCCTACCTTTGCAAATATCTATCACTGAAACAAGTCATCCCTGTGCAAGTTCAGTGCTACATAGTGTACAAAATTACAATAGCTGGTGTAGGTGTTTATGTTTAAAAACAAATGAAGAGTTACCTGTAATTTAGGACATATATTAGACTAGTAGGAATTACCTGTTGTATGAGGTAGGGGGAGTCCTGTATGGGGAAACCTCCCCCTGAGTGGACAGGAGACCCTGGGGAGGAAGCTGAAGCACTTAGAGAATGACAGAGGCGGGTCATTGTATTTAACTATATAAAGCAGAACCCCTGACCCTGGGGAATTACATTTTGATTAGGCATATTGTATAATGTGTAATCTCACTCCATTACAAGCACATAGCTATATATTATATATATGGTAACTCATATGCCTTGCTTTTGTGGTGTTTTAAATAGGCTGTCACTAACTATAAAATTCTAATTATAAATTAAAAATGTCCAGTTAATGATATTCATTTACATATAAAATTATAAATACCGTGTAAGTCACATATTGTACACCTGTAATTTACCTGTAATTCTATTTTTATGAGGTAGGGGCATTTAATTTTGGTAATTCTATTATCAGCTGTTGTATGAGGTAGGGGCAGTCACATATTGTACACCTGTAATTACCTGTAATTCTATATATTACCTGTTGTATGAGGTAGGCGGAGTCACATATTGTACACATGTAATTCACCTGTAATTCTATATATTAACTGTTGTAATAGCATATTGTATAGTTAACATTATATAAAAATCACTAAAATTGTTTAATTTACCAGTAATTCTATATATTACCTGTTGGATGAGGTAGGGGCAGTCACATATTGTTAACCTGTAATTTACCTGTAATTCTATATATTAACTGTTGTATGAGGTAGGGGCAGTCACATATTGTACACCTGTAATTACCTGTAATTCTATATATTACCTGTTGGATGAGGTAGGGGGAGTCACATATTGTACACCTGTAATTTACCTGTAATTCTATATATTACCTGTTGGATGAGGTAGGGGGAATCCTGTATGCTACAACTGTTAATTACCTGTGATATTGTAATTACCTGTTGTATGAGGTAGGGGGAGTCACATATTGTACACCTGTAATTTACCTGTAATTCTATATATTACCTGTTGGATGAGGTAGGGGGAATCCTGTATACTACACCTGTAACTCTATAATTACCTGTTGTATAAGGTAGGGGGAATCCTGTATACTACACCTGTAATTCTATAATTACCTGCTGGATGAGGTAGGGGGAGTCCTGTATACTACACATGTTAATTACCTGTGATATTGTAAACTTTAATCAAATAATTTATTATATAACCTGTTGGATGGTTCCATGAAACCTCCCCCTGAGTGGACAGGTGACCCCGGGGAAGAAGCTGAAGCAGAAAGCATGAGAGGCGGGTCATTGTTATTGTAAGGTCATAAAGCTCAGAATACAGTGATCAGGCATATTGTTTAATGTGTAATCTCACTCCATTTCAAGCACATAACTATATAAAATATATATGATAACTTATATGCCTTGCCATGGTGGTGTTTTAAATAGGCTATCACTTAATATAAAATTCTAAATATAAATTAAGAATGTCCAATTAATGATATTAATTTACATATAAAATTATAAATAGTTTTTGGACAACTTATTTATGGCTTAACTTCCAGAAATTGGCTAAATTTTAGCAGCATTGTTTCTCTACATATCTTCATTTTACATTTTTCCTTGATTCATAAATTAGCCAATGTATTCAAGTGCTTTTTACTTTTTTGATTTTATCTATCCTATAGGTATATGAAAATGTTATTCTTGATTTCTAAAATTTTTAAGTTTCCACAAAATATTAAAACTTTAATCAAATAATTTATTTAAAGTGGTTCATGAATTTCTTTCAGACTCAATGTTTCTCTCTAAAATTAAAACCAATATAAAGTCTATGCTAAATGTCAAGAAAAACAATCATTATGGCTACTGTATACAGGGATATTTTTGCCAGCATTTTTTTTTCGTCCCATTCGCCCTACTCATAGGTGGGAAAATTCAAAATGGGGCGAATTCAACAATGCAGTATAATTTCTTAAAAAGAATTGTTATTGGGCATATTTGAAACAGGGCAAAATTATTTGCAAGTGTGAAAGGGCGAAAATAATGTGGGGTGAAAAATAACCCTGTGTACAGTATTTTTCTGGAGCATATAAAGCAATCATTATCAAGCTTCAATATTAAATATAAATTGCTGCAGCAAAAATGGAAATTGAAATTTATTTCACCATATATGTAATTTTTATCACCTTTATGGCTGTAAGAAATATTTGAATCATTATAAATTATATCTTATACTAAGTTTCTTCTTGTTTTAACTGAAGGTAAAAAATAGTCTTCAGCAATATTTCTCTTTTATTTTTAATCACTGAATCCTGACCACTATCATTAACCTTTGTCCTCTATAATTGAAACCTGAACCCTATCATTAACCTTTGACCCCTATTACTGAACACTCACCTGGTTGTGTAGCTTGCCTGGTGATTCCCTCGATGAGTGTTTTCTTGGAGAGTATTTTCAGCCTCTCCTTGAGTTCTATTTTCTCTTGTTCCAGAGTGTCAATGTCCTGTTGTAGAGCATCCATTGTCTCCTCAAATTCCCTGTAAACAAAGATCATCAATGTAAATGTAAATTACAATAAACAGAGATGATAGCTATACTTTACAGTTTAAAGAGATGATAGCAGTAAAATTAGCTGATGTTTGTTTTGTTGTTAATGAAAACATACATTTCAAATCATTATACAAATGACATAAAGAAACCATACAAATGGGAATAATTTGTGCAGAATTAGGATTATATAAAGCTCACTTTTCCTTCTTTATGAGCTGAGCATAACTCACTTTTCTTTCTTTCTGAGCTGAGCACTACTCATATTTTTTTCTGAGCTGAGCACAACTCACTTTTCCTTCTTACAGAGCTTAGCACTGCTCACTTTTCCTTCTTACTGAGCTATGCACTACTCACTTTTCCTTCTTACTGAGCTATGCACTACTCACTTTTCCTTCTTACTGAGCTTAGCACTACTCACTTTTCCTTCTTACTGAGCTATGCACTACTCACTTTTCCTTCTTACTGAGCTATGCACTACTCACTTTTCTTTCCTTCTGAGCTGTGCACTACTCACTTTTCCTTCTTCCTGAGCTATGCACTACTCACTTTTCTTTCTGAGTTGAGCACTACTTGCTTGTCTTCCTTTCTGAGCTGAGCACTACTCACTTTTCTTTCTGAGCTGAGCACTTATCACTTTTCTTACTCACATTTCTTTCTTTCTGAGCTGAGCATTACTCACTTTTCTTTCTAATTGAGCTGAGCACTACTCACTTTTCTTTCTAATTGAGCTGAGTACTACTCTCTTTTCTTTCTGAGCTGAGCACTACTCACTTTTCCTTCTTACAGAGCTTAGCACTGCTCACTTTTCCTTCTTACTGAGCTATGCACTACTCACTTTTCCTTCTTTCTGAGCTGAGCATTACTCTTTTTTTTTCTTTTCCTTCTTAATATGAGCTGCTAGCACTACTAACTTTTCTGAGCTATGCACTAATTGAGCTAGCACTACTCACTTTTCTTTTACTGAGGTGAGCACTACTGTGCTATGCACTTACTTTTCTTCTGAGCTGAGCTCTGCACTATTCACTTTTCCTTCTCACTGAGCTGAGCACTACTCACTTTTTTCTGAGCTATGCACTACTCACTTTTCTTTCTTTCTGAGCTTTGCACTACTCACTTTTCCTTCTTTCTGAGCTATGCACTACTCTTTTTTTCTTTCTTTTTGAGCTGAGCATTACTCACATTTCTTTCTTTCTGAGCTGAGCATTACTCACTTTTCTTTCTGAGGTGAGCACTACTCACTTACTTTTCTTTCTGAGCTGAGCACTACTCACTTTTCTTTATGAGGTGAGCACTACTCATTTTTCTTTCTGAGCTGAGTACTACTCACTTTTCTTTCTTTCTGAGCTGAGCCAGGAGCTCGTCGTGTTTTCGCTGTAGCTTGTCCAGCTTGCTGTCCCCATCTTTTGTCGCGTTCTCTAATTTCTTCTCCAGAAGGCCGATTCTGACCTGCATCTCACTCACTTCCTCTCGCTGTAAATAATTACAAGTTTAGGTTTTCATTGGTAGAAGACAACTAGAAGTGTATTATAAGAAAAGGTTTATTTCAGTCAACTTTTTATATCATTTCCTTGACTTGTGAAATGACATACATTCAATATGCATTATATATCCTCTTGACAGTTTAAAGCATAAATCCAATTCCTCACCTTCCTATAAACTTAAAGTTAATTCATTTTAGTATAAATTAAGTATATATCTTCTTGTTCTTTCACACTCAACTTCATTTTCATCTTGATTTAGAATTCTTTTACTCACCTTCTTTTTGATCTCCAGTTTGAGTTCCTTCACGCTGTCTTCCTTGGCCTCCATTTTGTGCTTCATCTGATCCATCTCAGCGATCTGGGCTTTAACAGTCTTAGCTCTCAGCACCACAGGTGGCACAGGCTGCAACACAGCAACATTACATTAGAGAAAACCATGAAATAGTTATGTCATCACAGCAAGATTATATGGAGTATAAAAAATCATAGAAAAAGTTATCCATTCTGTTTATTTCAGCAATCTGGGCAATTAAATTTTTGAAACAAGCAATAGTTATTTCTCTAGTATTTTATTTTTCATGATTAAAATGTATTTCAGTAAACAATTTGACATACGGTTTTGTCGTGAACCACAGCAACATTATATAGACATCCTAAAACATATCAAAGAAAACCAAATGATGCCTATAATACAAGTTATAGCAACACAGCAACATTACATAGAGAAAACCATAGAAAAGTTATGGCAACACAGCAACATTACATAAAAAACACATAGAAAAGTTATAGCAACACAGCAACATCACATAGAGAAAACCATAGAAAATTATAGCAACACAGCAACGTTACATAGAGAAAACCATAGAAAATTATAGCAACACAGCAACATTATATAGAGAAAACCATAGAAAAGTTATAGCAACATTACATAACATAGCAATTATGATAGAATGACTTATAGCATCTAATTCTAGGTTTGGTTACTGAAAAATTGTATTGCAATATATCTTAATATCAAATTCTTTAATATTAATGCAATGTATCATAGTTATTTCTCTATTAGCTATTTTTATTTTTAATTACAATGGTTAAAATGTATATTTCAGTAAACAATTTGACTTAGTACCGTTTTGTCGTGAGTACCGTCAAAGTCATACTCTCCATTCTCCATAGCATTAGCCACCTTATTCATTGTACCCACGATTTTACCAAACGACGTCCTAAATAATATCAAATGATGACTTTTATAAAAAAAATGTATCTTGATAACAATTCCTCATTACTTGTCAAACAACAGTTCTCTTTATAATACTGGTTTGAACTATTTGATTTGCTTCATTAAATATCACCTCAGACATTCGTAAGGTCCAGCGTCGTCTTTGCCTTTACACTTTGTGCCAAATTTGGTTCAAATTGGAAAGCGATTTCAGAGAAGAAGCAGAAAATCTTTTTTGGCATCAGACCTTCAGAGTCTTTAACACAAACAGAGTAAAAATTTCATAGAGTTGAATTGAGAAGCTGGAAATACATAAAATCAATATTTCTGACACATTGCAAGAAAGGAATTATTTAATGTTTTATTTAAAATGAGTTTTAACATGGAAAAATTAAAACAGAAATCTTAACAGTAAACAAGCAACGTGTAATACAAAAAACACACACAAACACAAGTGATTTTAACATGTTTAAAAAATCTTACTGTTTTAAAATTATCAAAAGATATACTTCATCAAATTCAATATATTTTTTATTTATGTATATATTTTTAATGTACTTATTCAATTTTCTCTGATATTTATTTTATTGATTTTTGTTAATTTCAATCCAGTACTAATGAGGGTTATTTGTTAATTACGCATTCCATATCACTCATTACCATCCTTAGGTTTCAACCACGATACAACGCTGTCTAGAAGAAAAAATCAACCCATGCAAAGAGAAAAGTTATAAATATATATCACTGCAGTAAGTATAATAACACAGCTGAAATTTACAGGAATTTAAAAAGAAAACTCATCACATTTGAAAATGAGAAGAATGTTTTGCAGCCTAATTCACAAATTTTAAAAGCTAAAGAGCTCATTGGTGGCAAGGACTGACCAAGAACTATAAGTCATACTCAGTTGGCTTTCAAAAAAAACCTTTAAACTTTATTAAGGCTTTCAAAAATTTTTAAAGTTTCTCCTTTAAACTTTATAACCTACATTAAACAATAACTTGATATTAGGCTAAAGCATCATGTTACAGATTGATTGAGGCTAAAGCATAATCAAGGAGACATCCCAGATCATCAAATAAATGTTTGTCATAGTCTTATGAAACTCATGCTCATCGTGAAAATGGAAGGAAAAAGGAGAGTTTTTAATTAGTATCCATAACTTACTCCAATATTCACTAAAGTAATCTATTAATTTATAATCAACTGAACTGATAAACTTGTTTTTAAAAAATAAGTTTTTTTAAGGATAAAGCTGCATCAAAGTAAATATTTACTTTTAAACTAATTGCTGGAACATAACATTAACTTTATAACTGTCAATAACAACAACATATAACATAACAAAATATATTCAATATAATATAAATATTAACACGATAAACCAGTTTTTAAACATCTGAATAGAAATCACTCAATTTCAGAAAAACATGCTGATCTCAATGATCTCATGCTCAGACTTACAAGGAAAGAGATAAACTCAACCACTCAACACACCAGCAACAAAATCTCAACAGAGGCAATTCAGACTAAATATAGATTTTGCAGTTATGTCCCTTTTTTAACATCTCTACAGTTTCTCTGCCTAGTTTTGCTGTCAGGGTTGATTAAATAATAAATATTATTCTCTCTTCCACAACTTTTCAATGTCCATTCACCTGTCACTGTGATGGGGAAATACTGTACTCATATAAATTTCAGATTAAAAAATGAGATGGATTTTAAAAAGAAATAAAGAAATTTTAAGTCTTTCCCATTTTTCTTTTAACTTGCAGAATTAAAAAGTTAGCTGTAACCCTATGCTAGAAAACAAAAAATACTATTTATGAGATATCTCTGAAAAACTTAAAATGTATGTTTGATTCACTAGCTTTTATTTCAATCCAATTTTTACTAGCCATTTTTCAGTGACTACTTGCAGTTTTAGCCAAACATTCAAGTATGTAGATGTAGACACTAACTACTAGTATCTTCTTTACTAGTGATAAAACAATATTGTTTTATCAGTAAAAATCAACTATTCTTTTATATGTTTATCAGATCGAATTTTTGAAATACTATAAAGCCAGCATCCTAGTGAAGCAATTGTTGCTAAATTGAGTTGCTGCTGGTTGCTGATGTTGCTATTTTCAGAAAATAAAAGACAGTAGCAGGCCTATAGAATGTGTTACCATGGTAGTCCTCCAGTTTTCCTCCTAGCAACAATACACAGCAAAATATACTCCAAAAGAGTCAAAAATATACAGCAAAATATACTGCAAAGAGTAATAAAAAACTGTACTGCTTGCAAGTCAACTATATATTATATAACCAAAAAAATTTAATCAAACTTCAAGAAGGGAGAGCTTCTTTAATTTAAAAAGAGGTCACAGTTCCCCCATAAATTTGCCATAATTATAAAAATATAAAGTTTATAAATTCAGTGAAAAAAAATATATATAATTCTGTGAAAAATATTTTTAAAAAAAATACATTCCCTTTATCATTTTTATAGTGGCTGCATTGTGCAAAAAAATTGAAATCTGTGACAAAAGCATTCAATAAAGCGAAACTATAATCTAAGAAAAAATCTCAATATTGAAAATTCAACCATTATGCCTTCTTTGTTTGTGGAATTGTTATTATATGCCCTATATTAAATAGTTTTATTAAATAAATATCAGTGTATGCATGCTTTATTAATGTGTTAATTAAAACCTACTCATACATATTATAATTTGGTGTTTTTTTAAACTTCATAATTTTATTGTACAGTATCAAAATGTTTCTTTTCCCCTAAATATATAAACAAAAATTTTAACACATTCAAAACATAAATGACAAAATCTTGGAGGAAAAATTTACCTTTTAGATATTTTACCTAATGTTTTGTGCAGTTTCAAGAAAATTTTTGAAAAGGAAAAATTTTATTTTTATCTCAATTATTATTCAATGTTGTCCTTGAACTTTGATGTTATTTCATACAAATCCCAAATTAAATGAAAATACAGAAACTGTAAGTATATAGTTATACATGTATGTATCTAAATGTGAACCCCATATTAAACAAAATTAATATTTCTCTTTTCTGTGATAGGTTTACTATTAACTGTATATATAATTATATGTGTGTGCTAAAAATATACCAGCTGATTCAGCCAATCAAAGCCATTCATTGTAACCTTGGTAACCACTCAAACTTAAAATGTCTGACCTGAGCCTTACCTGCTAAAGAATCTGAATCGAACAATAGGTCAGTTTTAATTATAATTCTGGAAAACTTTGCACATACATTAATCTTTAAACTTGTAATGTTTTTAAAGGGCATGTATATATTATTATTTAGTATAATCATGTATTTATTTAATGAAATTATGGAAATTCTGATTTAACCTATAATCAATAATAATAATATATGGCAGTATTTGTCTGTCTTTTGTATCTAATACTCAGTGATGTTCACATTCATCTGCTGCAAACAAAGACTACTATACAGAGTCAAATTTACATGTACTATAAATTGAGGACAAAATGTTGGATTTAGGTAAAATTCCATTGTGATTATCTGATATAATAAGACTATATATTTCACAGAACTCATATACACTACATGAAACAATTACAATTTTAGGCATTGTAGACAGTATACTGAACTAATTTTTTTTTAGTTTTATGTCCTTTGTCAAACACTCAACATACATGTATCAACATGTAGAGACAATTGTACACATAAATAGTCATAATATATTTATACAATATCCATTTTGACTTTTGACACTGTAGATATTCACAAGGACATTACAGGCAACCCAGAATACAATCTGTTAAGTACTCTACCAGTATATAATAAAGTATATCTCTCAAAAAAGATGCTCCTTAATCATTACTAATGATGATCCATGTTTAACAATCAAAGGCCCTTCCCTCAATGTGACAATGAATCCAATCCTTTAATTCACCTTAAATGACTTCTTTTACTTGACCTTTGATGACCCCAACCTTTTATTCACCTTTGATGACTTTTTACTTGACTTTTGATGACCCCCACCTTTAATTGACCTTTGATGACCCCCACCTTAAATTGACCTTTGATGACTCCCTTTTTATTTGACTTTTATTGAACCCCTTTTAATTGACCTTTAATATACCTCTTTTAATTCATCTTTGATGCCCCCCTTTGATTGACCTTTGATGCCCCCCTGTAATTGGTTTTTGCTGCCCCTATAATTGACCTTTGATTACCCTCATTTGACCTTTGATGACCCTGTATCCTTACCCGTCATTAGAGCTGCCTGCTGCATGGCTCCAGCTGCCAGAAGGTGAAGCGTCTTTGTTACCATGGTGATGTTCTTACTGCAGTCTAGTATCAAATCCTGAACCTACATTCATCAGACGAAATAAATGACCGACAGATATTTACACTACCATATCAAATCATCTTGAAAAGTTCTGCTCTTTTTCTATGACCTATAGTCTCTTTGTTTGTATATGACTATTTGTAAATACCTCTTTTCCAAAGGACAGTGGTGTAGCAGAGCCATCGCCTTGAGGAAGTCTTCTCTTTATCTAAAACATTTACATAACTTGGTTAACTCTTTATTATCTTATTTAATAATTATCAAAAATACAATACTACCACAACAAATTGTCTAGCTGTTTATTATATACCCAAATATTTAATACTTCACAAGAAAATTTCTCATAATTTTTTCTGCACTTTGATTTAACCTAAACTAAAACAGATTCTTACTTTTCTTGCACACATCTTGGTATCATTGTTACAGTTCTCCAGGTCCTTAAACAGAATGGCTATTTCAGCTTTCTCCTGCCCAGGCTGAAAAATCCAATAAAGGAAATAAATAGAGAGAAATCATGTGTTCTTTAAAATTTGATATTTCTCTGCAATGTTTAAAATTGAACATATTGTTTAATCATTTATACCCATATGCTCATCATCTTTTGAGTTTTGCAATGTCTGTTGACAGATAATTCTCACCATCAGTACTTAGAACTTTGAGTCGTGTGATATTTACCATCAAGGTGACTAAAACTTTGAGTCGAGAGATATTTGTCTTCAGTAGAACTTTGAGTCATGCGATACTCACCATCAATAGAACTTTGAGTCGTGCAATACTCACCATCAGTAGAACTTTTAGGCATGCGATACTCACCATCAGTAGAACTTTGAGTCGTGCAATACTCACCATAAATAGAACTTTTAGGCATGCGATACTCACCATCAGTAGAACTTTGAGTCATGCAATACTCACCATCAGTAGAACTTTGAGGCATGCAATACTCACCATCAGTAGAACTTTAAGGCGTGCGATATCTGTAGACACACATTCTGTGGCACTCTGTACAAGCTTTACTTGGTCAGCCATCATAGCTGTACAATCCACCTTTTCTTGGGACAGATGCACTGAATGCAGTTGCTATATAATGATACATTACACATCAGTATGTTAAATATCATGTTTGTGCTGTATCATAAACTTGAAAATATATGAAATAATAAAGATTTTTTACATTCACTTATACATTTAACTATTAATACCTGGAAATAGCTGATTGATTTTTCCAGAAGATCCAGAGAAATGGTCTCGTCCAGCTGATCCTTCCTGAGAAGTTCAATGAAGTAATCCACGGAAGTCTCGTGGGCACTTATCTCGGGGAGTAAGGTTCCGATCTTCAGCAGTAACTCCTCACTGCATGTCTTCAATGCACTTAAATTCACAACAGTAATATAATCAATTAAAAATTAAACAGTAACCTATCCATAACTCTAACAATAATGAGCTACTAATAAGTCATATTGACTACTTACAAGTCGCACTGCCTCATCATGCCCTGTATCTATAAGTCAGCCCTGTATCTATAAGTCCAGTAATAGTGGGCTACTTACAAGTCATACTGCCTCATGATGCCCTGTAGTGTACTCAGCAGAAGAACAAGAGTTCTGGAGAAGCTACACTGCTCGGCTCCATGATTCTTCAACACACTCTCTCTGTTGACCTCATCCGTCATCTCAAACTAAATCAATCAAAACAGTATATTACGATCCTCATTTGTACATGTACCTCAAAGCTTGTACAGTGTCAAAACATTTTTATTGTTACATCATTTAGAAAGTTAACTTTATATTCAAGTTCCTGATTTGATTTTTTTTATATCCTTGACCGTACCACTTTACTGATTTGTTCTATTTATATACCTTGTCCTTGACCTGTGAGGCTAACAGTTCCGCTTTACTGATGATGCGTGGAATCATAAGTAATACCAGGATAGCGTCATGGTCACCTGTACGGAAAAAAAAAACCAATCAATTCATAAGCAACAGACCATAAGGGAGGGGTAGGGGCAAAATCATTTATTTTAAAGGGGATATTTCTTTCTTCTCCAAATTATACAATTCTTTTTATTTTATAATACTCACAATTATGTTCAGTACCCGACAATTTTAAAATTCCTACTCTTCATTTTCTGATAATGGTGATTTTTTTTCTCACTCATCTCCCCTGTTCATAAAGCTGCCTATCATGTAGAACATGAATTTCTTAACAAACTGATGTCTCTTTCCTTTATAATAATGCCTATCATGTAGAACATGAATTTTTTAACAAACTGATGTCTCTTTCCTTTATAATAATGCCTATCCTGTAGAACATGAATTTCTTAACAAACTGATGTCTCTTTCCATTATAATAATGCCTGTTTTCTTTATTTATGATGCCTATCATGTAGAACATGAACCACTGAACAAACTGATGTCTGTTTTCTTTTTTTAGTAACCTGCTATCAAACAACTCCTGCGCTCCCTTGTTTTATTTTTTTTTTTGCCAGACTTACCTCCCCTGTTCATGAAGCTGTCTCCCATAAAGGACTGTAACAACCCTACATGTCTGTTGGCCTGTTGTACTTCCAGTTTTCTTAGCTCCATGTCTATAGTCTGAAGGAATAAAGAAACAACATTGATACAGCAGGCATTAGTGATAATTAGTTAAAATTACAGATAAAGGATTACATGAATATCAGAGTCATAGTGCTTTTGTAAATAATAAAAAACTAAGGGAAGATACAGGGTGAGATGAAAACATCAGATGGTAATGTTGTTCACTTACAAGTGATATACACTCAATCTACCGAGATATTAGCAGCTAGGATCTAATGGTTCAATGACTTACAGGCATCAAACACGACACTCTCAATACAATAACATGTCATAAGTAACATAAAACTTAGTTTCAGTGCCAAAAACATTAGTGTTTTAAAAAGACACATATTTACAGAAAAGTAAGTATGCCTGACAGAATAATATTACGGTACGGGTGTGCTTTGCTATGAAAAATATTGTGTCATTTGACCTATTTATGTCAGGGCTTCCATAATGAACAAAAAGGTGTTTCTAACCACCTTTTAAAAATTTGAAAAACGACAAACTGACGTACTCTAGCTATCACCAAAAACCCAGATCATATTAAATAGCATTTAATAAGCATAAATTTTCTATAGCAAAGCAGAAACTCAAGCACTCTCAAATCTCTCTCTTTCTCTCTCCCTCCCTATGTAAATAACCCAGAACTTTTTTCCCTCACTTTATCTATATTGAGGAGGCACAACTGTGTTCGCTACGGAAATGTGAACAAAGCAAACAATTATAAAACAAAACTGTTATAGTTTAAAACAAAATGTGAAGCAAACTAAATCAAACTGGAAAACCCTGTGGGGATCCCCGAGTTACTATGGTTACCCACCGAAGCCATGGTCGGTGTGGGCTGTAAATAGAACAGGTCCAACCTCAATTAATGCGTAGTTTATTTTGAACATTTTTAACCTTAATTAATGCGTCATGAATTAAGATGTTCTTTACAATATCTGATGTGAAGCAAGACCAATCCAACAAAATTATTAACAATCATTAAAAAACAATTATTTGAATGACATATGTAAAAGACTTTAATGTATTTTTGTTTTACTTTATTCATTAAAACCTTCAAGCCAATGCAATGAAAATCTACTTATTTTAATAAATAAATACAACTGAGAATATATACCGATATGAAAGAAAAAAGAATGTTTACATGTGTGTACTGTTAATATGTAAACAGTCATGAAAGTCTGTATGACTGTACTGTGCACATTTGTATTTAAGTACTTAAACACAGAAATCTGGCTCCCTTTCCCACACTGTAGTAAAACTAACACTTTAGTTATTACACTTTTCTGATTTTTACCTTGGCGTACGCTTTAGACTCGGCAAACTTTGTTTTGAAGTCGATGACCTCTATCGTGGGAGTGGCCTCGGACTTTTGCTCGGTCTCTTCCTGTCTGCTTCTCATATCACGAATCGTGTCCTACGAAAATATGTAGTTATTATATACACCTTGATATCATAACATGCCTTGATGGCAATATGCCTTGCTTGATAAACTAATATGAAGATCAAGGATATACTCTATTACAGTAGTTTGATAACTAACATTAGCAAGACAAATCTTCAAACAGTCTAATGTTTCCTTAATTTTATTTGTGACATCACGTTGATAATTATATTTTTTTAACACAAATTAAATTCACTCTCTTTACCTGCAAAGTGGATACTAAGTCTCTAAATTTGCCGATGGTTGCTTCGTAGTCCGCAAAGGTTTCAGAAGTGGCATCAAGTTTTCTTTTAAACTAAAAGTAATCAAAGGTATAAGTCACTCTACTGACAGTGAACTTGTGGTGAAATTATGATACTTAATGAGAAGCATGACCTTACCTCGTTAGCGCGCCCTGTTGCTAGGTCCAGCACTTCACGTAATTCTAACTCTCCTACATGACCCTGACCTTACCTCGTTAGCGCGCCCAGTATCTAGGTCCAGCTCCTCACATAATTCTAACTCTCCTACTTGACCTTGACCTTACCTCGTTGGCCCGTCCTGTTGCTAGGTCCAGCTCTTCACGTAATTCTAACTCGGCCTCTCTGGCTGTTTCCTGTAGCTCTTCATTCATATCATGCAGGGCCTCCTAAAAACATGAAAAAAATATCGTTCTTCATTATATACCCACTATATAGTAACCAACTTTTTTGGTTGATTTCATACAATCATGTGACAGTCTGATCTGACTTTTTGGTTATCACACTAACACAGAATCCAAAGGTCATGACCCCTCATTGACAATGTTACTCCTCAGTCCAGACAGGTCATGACTCCTGTTACTATGTCATGACCCCTGTTGCTACGGAGACTCACCAGGTCAGCCTTTTCCTCCTCGAGTTCCTGAATCTTTTCCTCCAGGGCGAGATTTCTATCTGTCAAGGTCTCTACCATCTCCTCAGCTCCCAGAGCGGCATCCACCTACAAATAATATAGCAAATAATATAGCAAAATGTCTGAACGACTCGCGTTGACCTACACTAACATCTCCATTAACCAAGACTTACTTATAACTGAGTTCTTTGCCAAGTATTTTTATTTCTGACATTTTATTTCTCACCTGTGACAACAAAAATATAGAAATATTTCTGAATTTTGACTACGGAATCCTACATTACACTGTTCTTTTAGGTCAATCATCTGTTGTGACAGCTGACCTGTTTTTATGCAAGGGATTTAAACAGTAAACATTTAAACATGACCTTTGACCTATTTTTATTTCTGACCTGTTCTTTTAGGTCAATCATCTGTTGTGACAGCTGACCTGTTTTTATTTCTGACCTGTGACCTCTGACCTATTTTAATTTCTGACCTTTGACCTATTTTTTTTATTTCTGACCTGTGACAGCTGATCTACAGTAGATCATTAAATATTCGCGATACCTTATTTTCGCGAGATATTCATTGACTAATTAATAGCGAGGCATAATTTTCACGAATTCTTTTTTACCCTCAATATAACAGCAAGAGATACTTTTATACGCGAGAATGAAATCTTTGCGAGCCCAATGTCTCTCGTAATTACGCGAAAATAAAGTTACCGCGAATAAAAAGTGATTTAAAGTATATTTCTGACCTATGACCTCTGATCTTTTTAATTTCTGACCTGTGACCCCTGACCCATTTTTATTTCTGACCTGTTCTTTGAGGTCAATCATTTGTTGTGACAGCTGCTCCACCTCTCCTGCGAATCTCTCCTTGTCTTTCTTCAGGTTCGTTATTTCTGTGGTAAATTTCTCGTTAGCTTTGGTCAATCTCTGTACCTCCTGTTTTTCTTGGTTTGACAAATCCCTCATTCTGAAACAAACATGAGATTTCTTTATCACCATGCTTACAGAATTATATTTAGAGTAGTTCTTTGGACTGCAAAATTATTTTGTAAATTAATGCTTTGATTAATACAGTATAATTTGTCCAATCCGGCTACCGCCGGTTCCGCTCTTTCAGTGTGTCCACCTCCTGCGGATCCTTACTGCCTATTATCCGGAGTGCAAGAAAAATGCAGGAAAATATTAATTTCGAAAATTTTCGTTGTTTATTTACAAGTACATCATATACATATTATAAATAAAATTAAATGATGAAATCAATTACTATTATTGAGTGTAGAAATTATAAGATAGCCTCACATGACTTACTGTATTTTCTTAATTGTTCACAAAGTATATAAAGTCGGGTGAAATGTTACCTCAATCAAAATATACAGGCATGCATAATATAGGCCAACTACGTATCAAGCGGACCGGGTTTCGCTTGTCAAGGACCTCATTCAATGTATTAACAGTAATGCACAATTATTTACGATGTGCTAATTATTAGATTGAACTTTTAATTTTATGTAAAAAATTACGTATTCCTCATCAGTGTTATCGCGCCATTTTGAAATGCGTATCTGGCCATTAGTCTTAAAATACAATATTATATTTTGATTTGTAAATCGCGCGTACATATATTTTTGTGTTTATGTTATAATGTGGTAAAAGGAGTTAATTTTTTTTAATTGTAATTTAATCATATAATATATTTTTCAAGTGGACTGTATCACCGCCGCACTTCACCGAGTTCGTCTCATGGCACTAATAATCATGCTTATGTAAACACAGATTAACATTCTGTTTGTAAGGTGTTAATTGCTTTGAAGTAACTCAGGTGTGGCCGTAATATAGAGGGAATAATTACCGTTAATTATATCAGCTGGGAGCCAGTATGGTAATATCTGTTTGAATAGCTATCCGTAATACACAGAATTTTTTAAAATGAATTTGTTAAAGAAGTGCATGGGACTAAAATTTCGGACGGAATAAAAAGTCCGTAAGCTTTCAGAGTCCGGATTAGACAAATTTTACTGTACATACTTAACGAGGGCCTCTCTCAGTCTCTCGATCTGTTGATCTTTCTGTTTAAGTTCGTACTCTGATGCTACACCTGAGGTCCCTGAAACACACACAGACTCAGTCATCAAATAGCTTAATCTACATGAAGGTGTTGCTGCAATAACTAACAAAAGTATAACACAGTGGAAGATTTGGCATTGTCTATAAATGAATGCAATCCACACAATGATGAAATAATATGACTATCAGGATGTTTTCAGTTTTGATGCAAGTCAAGGTGGGATGTGCAGCTTTATAAATTCATGAAGGACAGAATAATATATGGCTCTTTATGATAAGTAAATAGTTTTTGTTGAATACTTGTATATGGACTTTATTTTCTTTGTGTGATATGCTGTACCTTTCTCACCGATCTCACTACTGAGACATACCTTTCTCACCGATCTCACTACTGAGACATACCTTTCTCACTGATCTCATTCTTGAGAATCTCGAGATCCATGGAGAGCTCCTCGGCTCGCTCTTTGAGTGTGTCCACCTCCTGCTGTAGTCCTTCTGCCTGTTATACCAACACAGTAGAAAATTAATTTCTTAATTAAACAATAAGTGAGGTAAAATTATATGACTGTGTTACATTATTTCTAAAGTTCTGTGATATAAAATGAATTGTAGATTAGTGTAAATGAATAGATACACATTCTAAACTTTTACAAAGCCATTTACTCAAAAACCAAACTAAAATAAATTCAGTAGTTGCTTATACATGTAAATAGTCTTCATGTTAAGACTTCACTGAAAAGTTCGGTGTTTAAGAATATCTGAAAATATCTTTGAATTCAGTAACTGTTATATCATGATTATTCTGTGGTATGGACAGCTTTAGTCTTGAACCTAATTATACTTTCATCCTCTGAGGCTTGTGTTTGGAGACTAAATGTAACTTTTCTTACCTTCTCCTCAGCCATTTCTTTATCTAGTGTTGCGATTTCTACAGTCTCCGCGAGGTCAGACATCTCGTCTTTATAGCGATCAAAGCTCTCCTGGATATCCTTGGCGTCCTAGAAAAACCACAAAGCATATCTGGCCATTAGTCTTAAAATACAATATACATCCCTTATAATTTGTTTTGTTCGATTGTTTTTTTTTTCTTGGTATTTGAGACAAATTAACTGGATTTTTTTCTTTATTGTTTTTCTGATAAAATTACAATCATTATATTGTTCTAATAAGATCATGTTTTCCTTTTTTGAACTCAGTAATATCTGTTTGTAAGCTGTACCTTTTTGGCTGCCTGAAGCTGTTGTTGTAAATCTTTCTGTGTTTCCTGCATCTTACTTTTGTATTCTTGGAGCTGAACAAAAAATCAATGCAAAGGCTGTAATTTTATGAATTTTGTACTTTCCTTCACAAGATATTAAGGCTACATGATAAACATTTCATCAGTTCTATTAAAAATAAATTGATGATCTTCATGATCAGTACCCAGTATTTCACTAAAAATTATTTAGTCATTTAAATAACTATATCCCCAGTCATGGAGCAATGTCCACCCAGTTTTAGACTCAGTAACTCAGTACCTGTTGAAGCTGAATCTTGGCTTTCTCGAACTCCTTCAGTTTGGCCTTGTCCTCGGCTCGCTTTATCTTCAGCGTGTCCAGTTTCTCGTTGAGATCCTTTATCTCGGCTTTGAGCCCCTCCATCTCCTGTTGCTGTTGTAGACTTGACATCTCTGGTCCAGCGGTCAGCAATGAGCTGTCCAGTGACCGGGCCATGGAGGACAAGTCGGGAATAGAATCCGTCTGGAAACATGACAAACATTTAGATTTCATAGTCAAAGATAAAAGATTTTCCTTGAATTATAAAGAATTAATTTTCCTAAAAGTTTTTTCTCAAAAGTCAGAGATAATGAGGTTTGATTGTACCTTGAATGTGTATGTAATTATTTACCTTTTCTTGAGTTCCCCTTGGGGTGCCTCTCTGTGTGATTATTTACCTTTTTCTGAGTTCCCTTTGGGGTGCCTCTTTGGGATTCTGCCAGATTTTCCTCACTAGGTGTTGACTCTCTACTGCTGCTCTCACGTCCAGACTTAGGCCCTGGTAACCTTGACATTGACCCTCGACCCTTAGGGGTCGAGAGGCCACTACCAGTACCAATTTTTGAAAGGTCAGAGGGCACACTGGGGGCCTTCTTTGGGGTCCCACTCAATTCAGCCAAATTCTCAGAACCTGTAAAACAGATCATATCAAATGTATATTACTATGAATAACAATTAATAATCAAATTAATATTTTTATTAAGTTTAAAAATCTGAGAAGTCAACCAGTTTACCACTATAATTTATTCATTATTAATACATAATGTACTCAACAAAATCAAACTTGATATCAAACTTAATGACATTTTTTTGTTGCAAATCTATTTCATTCAAATCATCAAATCATGCTATATACAAAAAGTTTTTGCCTGTCCTGGCAATAAGAATATGATCAGATGAATATGTGATATCATTTTGGAAATGAAGATTCTTCAATATGATGCCATGATTGTTGAAACTATACATGCAGTATCTAAAACATATAAGTTCTGCGATGAAGTGAAATAACATTTATATTTATAAAGATGTTCTGCTTATACTTTAGCTGAAAACATGGAAAATGCAAGAGATAGAATTTTCAACAGACATGATTTAAAAATACAAGTAAGTCATTTGATAATGTTGTCCTTCTGTTAATGAAATTATCTGCTGTCATTAAATGGGGATGTAACTGTATGACTTTAAAAAAATATCTTATTATCTTATACTGATTTACTGATTATAGTTAATTACATAGATTTCCAAATAAATTTAAATAATTTCATTAAAATATATCTACAAAATCAAGATAAATGCAAATTAAATGTGATTTAAAATACATGTACAAATGAATATATATTCAGTGTATATATCAGAAGTCCACTCTGAGAAGAAAAAAAAAATCAGCATTTTCGTATCATCATGCACTTACGCTGTCGAAATCCTAAAATATATTGACCCATAATCAATTACATAGGTAAGTCATAAAAGGTTAATTAATTTGTACAAATAGTTAACTGAACCCTGTATACCTAAAACAAGGAATCAAGAATTGATCACAATTCATTGACAAAAAAATTCAAATTTATTAAATGCCACATAATTTTAAGCATGCAAGACTATATAAAATATATAGATTCTCATACATGCTTCATTGATTTTAAAACAAAAATTGAATGAAATTTTATCATATTAAATGAAATTTTAGTTTACAGCAATAACAAAGACCAAATTACCTTAACTTTTAATTTTCACTCAAGTTCAAAACTTATTTCTTAAAACTAATAATATTTCTTTGTCAGTGCTATCAAAATTTAAGGGGATTTCTGCAGGCATTAAATGTCAAGCTTTCCCACAAAATTTAAACAAGATGCAAACATTCCCTGAATGTAAGTACATGCTTACTTTTGCCAGCGTAACTTGGAGGCCTGAGAGCTGATTTCTTGGCTGAGGAGGTTGAGGGAAGTTTGCTGGCCGGGGTCGATACTGGGGTCTTTTGTCCAGGTCCCTCATCCAAGATTGTGATCTGTTAGAAACAATAGTCAGTTAACCACACACTTTTCTATGCCATAAGCAACAATATATGAATCAAATACATGAAAAAAATACACAAAAAAAATTTAAATATCAAACAGGAATTTTGGTGGCCAAGAAAATGACTTATATAAGTATCTATATTGACTTCTGGAAGCATTACAGTGATAAAATCCTAATCAGTACCACAGACAACCAAACAAAGATGTGTTGGAATATGTATCTGTGGATGCCTGATAAAGTTGTGACAAACTGATAAAATATTCTGTCCACACTTCTGATAGCCTGACAAAAGCCTCTGTATGAATTCAAACATTCTATACAAACCTGTGACTGTCTGACAAATATTCCATGATTCGGGTCACATGTAAAATACGTCTTCCCCTGCACCGTTCCATTGTTCTTTCCTTTTTCTTCATCCAGAACCACACCGATCCACTTACCTACAAAGTCACAGTTATATATAACAAACAAGTTCACATCACATCAGAAATTCTGATTGTAAGAGAAATAATTCAATCCATTTACCTGAGAAAGCTCACTATTCAAATATATAACAAACAAGTTGCTGTTACATACAAAAACATGACCATCAGAAAAAAAAAAAAAGTGTGAACAATGTCTTTCTTCATATTGATAAAAAAAACATTGCTATAAATTTCTAGATTTAAATCAAGTCTTAAACATCTTAATCTTCTGATCTACAAAAACTCCTGGGTATAATTATGTTGATCAGATTTATCACTGGAGAAGAGTGTAGTCCCGATGTAAGCTACAGATCCTACCAGACCTTTGTCAGCTCCACTTACCACTGGAGAAGAGTGTAGTCCCAACGTAAGCCACAGATCCTACCAGACCTTTGTCTGTCAGCTTGACTTACCACTGGAGAAGAGTGTAGTCCCGACGTAAGCCACAGATCCTACCAGACCTTTGTCTGTCAGCTCCACTTACCACTGGAGAAGAGTGTAGTCCCGACGTAAGCCACAGATCCTATCAGACCTTTGTCTGTCAGCTCCACTTACCACTGGAGAAGAGTGTAGTCCCAACGTAAGCCACAGATCCTACCAGACCTTTGTCCATGAGCTTGACTTACCACTGGAGAAGAGTGTAGTCCCAACGTAAGCCACAGATCCTACCAGACCTTTGTCTGTCAGCTCCACTTACCACTGGAGAAGAGTGTAGTCCCAACGTAAGCCACAGATCCTACCAGACCTTTGTCTGTCAGCTCCACTTACCACTGGAGAAGAGTGTAGTCCCAACGTAAGCCACAGATCCTACCAGACCTTTGTCTGTCAGCTCCACTCGAGTTCCGACCTTGACAGACTTACCGTCTGCCATCTTCAGTTCTGAAATACAAAATGTATCTTGTAAGCTAGGCCTAGTGCAACATAAACATTGATTAATATTATAAGATTCCTCTGGTTGATGATGAACATCGAGTTGTTGAGTGTTACTCAGTGCCTGAAAATAAAGATCATATCTACAGTGATCTACATATAAAATTAATACGAAGATAAAATATTCCAAAGACACCTAATTTAGAGAAAATTCAGACTTACACATTGACTTACACATATTTTTTTTCCGCAATTACTTTAAGACCCACAATGCATTGCTTCCTTAAGCTACATTCTCACAAGAATAACAAGAAAAGTTCAACAAAAAATAAATTCCTTTTGACAGTGTTTGATATAATTTATATATTGCAGATCAACAAAAGCAGGGCTCTCGATTCTCTAAAATTGGGGCCGTTCAACGGCCCCGTTCCCAATGCGAAAAAGGTACCTTTTTTCCCAAAAGAAAGGTGTAAATTTCCCAATTTCCATCCAGAGTAAAATATTAATTAAAAAATAAAAGTCCATCAAAACTAATCGCAAAAAAAAAAAAAAACAAACAAAACACATTTGCAAATGAAAGTGAAAATATACTACTATTTTATTAGTTCGCGCCAAATGCATTCGTAAACTGGTTCGGGGAACCAGGTTATTGTTTTTACAAAAATGTATACAACTATGAGTGCAGAGTATCTTGTTATGTAGTTTCGACAAAAACCATCATTTTGGTTTCAAAAATAGACATTTCATTTAAACATTAGTAAGCTGCACTTAGAAACATACCCGCGCTTCGGCATGTTCAGTCTCGCGCTGTATTGGTAAGCAAAGTTGCCCATGTGATTGAGGAAATTCAGGACTGTGTGACTAGCGACTGTCACGCAGTAAGACATATAACCGCAATATCAACACTCAAAGATAGTAATGACAAAGCTAATGTACGTACTTTCATAAATAGCCTACGTACCCATGTTTGTTCTGTTTAACTGTTTATTCAAACCAGAGTTAGCATTGATGATAAAATGCTAGAAAAGCAAAATTTGAGGATTTTTTTTTAATGAATTTGTGTTATCCAACTTTTCCCAAAATGACGATAATTTTCCCAATTTGAACGGCCCCGGCCCCAGTCCCAAAAAGTGGTATGAGAGCCCTGAAAAGGTTGAATTTACGTTCTTCATTTAAAGTAAGGACATTTCAGGCTTTGGTTTGTTAATTTAACTTAAATACGATGTCATGTGGCGTCAGAGTCTAGACGCACCAAATGTCTCGTGCGGTTTGACGAGCCCAATTAATCTAAATTAATCTAAAACTGAATAACATGTATCTGTGCTCGGTGATTGGGTTAGATCATCAATATATTATTGGAAACAAGTCATGTTTATAAATGAATTGCATCTGGCATGTGATAATTTATTCAAACAGAAGAAGTTATTGAAAAAAATAAATAATGGGGGACGGGGAAGGGTTGCATGACCATGTCCATAAGTACCTATGATAAGTTTTTCACTCAATTACTTAACGTTTAACCAGGGACCTATATACTAACGGGATAAGCAACTACCACAAGTCTCGCGATATCTCGTAAGTTGCGGGATTTCGTAAGTCAACTTTAATTAACTATATTTCTAACGCTATCGCATATTTGAGATCAAATCCTTTAAACATCTGTCAAAAAATTATCCAAGATTTGTTTTTAGCATATATTATACTCCTTATCTTAGTAGTAATTTTGTTTTATACAAAAATCAGCACATGCCCTGATCCGCCATATTTCCGAGAAATCGCCGATTTCGGTGTTTGTTTTCCTTATATTAACAGGTTGGGCACACACCCCCAAATGGTCATTTAACACCCGTTTGGTGGTCAATCGCCAATATCGGCGTCTTTTTAACCCACCAAATGGTGGTCTTTTTTATTCAAATCCAATTTTTATTGAAATAAAGCAAAAGCGCATTTACTTAGGCATTGGGGAATTTAAATTAACATATTCCTCGCACATTTTATACAATTTAGTCAAATTTCCATGTGGAATTTCTATGAAACATCGTAAAAACAAAACCCCCAATTGTTTGTGACGGCCGAACTATTTGCTTTAACAATACGAAAAATTATGATGTTGTGTATAGTTCGGTAAAAAATATATTTAAACAAGAGGTGTTAGTCTAGAGAAGTAACTTTTCAAATGATCTTTCAATCTACATTTATATAATTCTCTATAAAATCCCGTTAAACACGAGCTCCTCGTATGGTATTATTATGGTGGGCACTTATCGCTATAATATTCATTTTTCCTACATTTGAATGTAACATTTATTCTTTATTTTCTTTTAGGATGAAGTTACGATTTCTGTGCGACCCTTTGTGGTTTAGTATGCATATCTATGATGTATCTACTATATTTATTAAATATTTTTGAATAAAAAATTTACAAAGTGACATTTGCAGTTATTTTTGTTTTCATTCCAAGATTTAGGTTTTCGCGCGATTATTTTATCATGAATTCACGGCATATCGTATTTTTGTAAAGAATAAAGCCATAACCTGCGAAGTAAACGATATAAAAGCGAATTTTTACCCTTCCTCTTATTTTACTTTTTGAAAATTTTCACTATTAGGCCTCCGTAGTTAACTCAGTCTTTTGACCCAAGTTCGGAAAAGATCGTCATTTTTAATTGGTTAAGATAATTGATCGGTTACCCGGATGACAGAAATATGAAGTGATAAACACGATAAATAGGCTCAACTACGCGCGAGATGGAGGGAATTTTTCTTTTTAAGTTAAAACACAGAAACGTTACACTTGCTTACATAGGTGACGGTTTTGTCAAATATTTGAACGACACTGCGCAAAAAAGTCCGCGTTGAAATTCTTATTTTTTTCGTTCAAAGTTTAGAAAAATATCTATATTTAATTCCCCGTTAGTTGAAATTATGCGCCATTTCACGTCATTCCAGAGAACTGAACTAAACGATTTTTCTCTCCCATTTGGTAGGTTAAAAAGACGCCGATATGGGCGACTGACCACCAAACGGGTGTTAAATGACCATTTGGGGGGGTGTGCCCAACCTGATTAAAATTATATTATTATTATACTTTAAAATTTATCAATAAATCAATTCAAATATATAAAAGGAATAAATGATAATCTTCAGAAAACACCCTGTTTACTGGAAATAAACGTAGATTGAAAAACTTGTAGTGTCTTGCGTGATGTTTTGGGTAAATAAACATGGCGATGAAGGAGTTGCCTATCCCGTTAGTATATAGGTCCCTGGTTTAACACAGCAGCAATTATCATCCAGTTAGGGATTAATGTTATTTTGAAATGACTACAATAAGTCGGTTTACCGTGTTTACAGATGGAAATGATTCAGTGAGTCATTTTGTATTAACTGTATTCGGTTCATTTGGGGTCATGAAATTAAACTTCATATCGTTTATGGAAAACAAAGCAATAACATGCATTATGTATACATGAATAATGTTATTTGAAATGATGCATGATTACATTTGAAACGTTAGAAAATATGCCTGCTACTTACAGGAATTTACACTCTGATGGTTCTGAGATGGATCGCACGAATTTCATCTATGCGAGACCGCTCATATCAATGAAAATAGTAAAACATTATTATTATATTTCCTTCGCACTTTGCAGTTTTTCCCACATAAATAATTTGTAGTTATAGTATTTTCAAATAATCAAATCGATACTATTCTAAAAAAAATATAAGACTCTCGATTTCAGTTTATTATTTTACATGGTATATGGGACTATATGGCGGTTCTTGCTGTGTTTTGTGCCTAAGCATTTCGACCCGACAGCCTTTGTTCCAAATTTTTAATTTCGCTTTAATTTACTGTACAGTGTATCGTTATCTCTTTAATCTATTTTTTTTTTTATAATTGTACATGTAATTACTAACTCTCAGATAAGCTTAGATCCAGAAAAAATCTTACATGATAAGATCACCTGAACATGACCTTTCACCTAGGTAAACATATATGCATATTTTTTTAAAAGGATGTTTTTTTCCCCACATTTGACTAAAAATAAATTTTAAAAATTCCAAATTTATATACATTGTTCTAAAGGTTAAGATGTAATTTCAATTGCTCCCAACTCCAACTCAGGTACACATTAAATTTTCCTGGTACAAAAAATCTCGGAAAAGGGGGGGGGTTAATTTTGTAAGAAAGTGTTCATTGAAAGTTTGCCATCCCCTTTTCCCCACTGTTTGATGCCTAACAGTAAAGTTAAATCCATGGTACTTTAATGAACCATACCCTCAATGGGCATGGAATATAAAAAGTGCAAATAAAGTCTGTCAAAGCAAACTTTTGCATTGTTTCGGGAGGCAAAAAGTAAGTTAATCATGTTAATAACTTTAAAATCGTGCAAAAAATTGATATTTTACCTTCTTCAGAATTCATTGCATGACAGGTCGCTTTCGGGAACAGCTGTCTCCTACACTCATTGTTAAACAGCAGTCAGCCATTTCACCTTTATGTGGACAAGTTTTATCAGCTATTATCAATAAATACTAGTCAATAACGGGCGCGGATCTATTGACAAGCATGCATACATGACACATACATATAAATATGATGTCTTAGAGGTCCATGAAAAAAGGTATTTTTGAACATGGGTAGTCTAATATGCACACTACCTGATATCGACAATGTAACCCATTTGTCTATATGAACTGTTTTTAATTATCATTTTCGACTGTTACATGCATAAAAAGAGTGAAGGCTTGCAACTCTTTTCTCGTCATCCACCTCACCTCACATAAACTTTGCCTTCTCTTTATGTGCTGACAGGAGCTTGTGAAAGCGTGGGGACATTGATTCTCATTTCTCTGCCAGTCTGTAGGCCTGACTGTCTATCCGTCTGTCATAAAACGCTTAACCTTTGTCACTTCTTTTGAATGGGAAGAGAAATGACTTTCATAAAAATACATGTGTATTACCTGTGGCAAGACCCTTCTAAATGCTAGCAACTATGATTTTTGCCCCTGTGACCTTGACTTTAACATTTGATCTTCTTTTCAAAAATGTTAATTCTTCCTTAAAGACTTTAGATTTAGAAGAGATGGAGCTGTCATATTTGACATGTGCATTACCCATGTTACCTGTGGCAAGATAGGTATTTCTGAGCATGCTATGATTTCTGACCCCTTGACCTTCATGTTTGACCTAATCCACCCATCCACCCCAAAAATCTAATGATAATTTAACTCTTAAATGATATACGTGTATGAATAGTGTGTTAATTCATATCTTCTCACTGAAGACTGACATATAAGACAAGCTCTTTTATCATGTGGATATCTAGAAAACTGATTACCAGGTATCAAGAGAAGATTCAAGTTAGTTTAACTCAAGATATTTGTAGTTATAATTTACCTTTGTATAAAAAAGATAAAACACAGAGTCAAGTTTCTGGATAAAAGTCGCCCACTGATAATGTTATGAACACCACGTCAGTTTAATGTGCATAATTTGGCCGTCCAGAGGGCAAAAATGCAGTTCAGCGAAAGAAGAGTTCAGGACAAAGAAGGACAACAAAAGCAACAGAGAACAACACAGTGGGATGATCAACGTTGTACCTCAAACAATTAAGGACAAGAAGACAACGAGGCTAAAAAAAGAAACCTTACCGATAGAGATCAGCTAACGAAGGACTTGACTAACGGAGGACATCAAAAGCACAACAAACTCAGCGCATAACAAAGAGAGGAGAACTAGAACAACAGAGAACAAGTCAAGACTGAGGACAAAGAACAAGAACTAGACAGAGAACAACAAGAAAGAAGACATTATGAACTTCAGAAGAGTTAAAAACACAGGAAAGAAAAGTTATGGTCTCATGGAAAAGTTTTTAACTCATGGAAAAGTGTTCTGAATGAATATATAGGACTCTTGTGCAAGGTTTGTAAACTAGATTTTTAATCACACACGCCATGTATTAATATTGTACTGCTGGAAATATGGAGACTTTAGTACTAGAGCCTTGTGCGAGACATTCAGCTAAAAATTATGAAATTTGGTGTATGTCATGTAAACTTCCACTTTGTAAAAGTTGTTCATTAGAACACAGAGACCATGATGTTATGGATGTCATAGATGGGTCAATATAAAAAAAAGCAGCTAAATGGTTCATATGAAAATTGGAGATACAATTAAATATTTCCGTTTCTTTTTTGTATCTAAATTGATAAAGCTGCACAATATTTTGGGAAAACAACATTTAGCAAACAGTAGGGAAGCTATTTTTTTCAGAATGTTCTCGTAAAAGTTACCAAATTGTGTTTTTCTGTCATTGGTGTTACCTTATAAAATTTTGTTGTATAGAATCAATTAAAAAAATTATGAATGCAAGCCATGATAAACATGTACTAGGATTATTCAAGTTTACTGATAAGTCCAAAAGTATCGTTGTCTGGTGATGAAAATTAAATTTTCAATCATATTTGGACATTGACATGAGACAAAAATAAATAGACACACACTAAAAAATGCTGTAAATGTGGTGCTATGTGTGTACAGTTCAAAATAACATAATTTATGACTTTTTTCAAGGAGTGAAATTAGGTAATATAAAGTTATTTCTTACATTTAAACTTATTAAAAGTAAAAAATAACAAGTTTTAGGTTGGTTACTCCACTGACTCAACTGTAACACCAATGATCGAAATTAGTAATACTAATGACTTAAGCACTTAACAATTAGCATTTAAACATACTATAACATGAAACTTCATGTGAAAGACAGAATACACTGTATGGCTAACATACAAAAATGAAAAAAGTTTCTGGGATTTCATACTTAAAATGATCTTATAACAAAAAGAAATCGGGTAACACCAGTGACAGAATAGTTAACTTTTATGGTAACACCAATGACTGGTGAAGTAACACCAGTGACAAGAGATATGCAGTGTTTGTTAATCATTGGTTTGAAAAAAAATAATGTTTGTAGGGTAAAAGTATGGCAAGCCCTTTTACTATTTATTCGTAAAATAAATTTTTCTTTCAAAATGAGAGATATCTCTCTAGCATAGAGAGATATCTCTTTAGCTTAAGGAGATATCTCTTTAGCTTATAGAGATATCTCTTTGACTAATAGAGATATCTTAATACTTTAGAGAGATATCTCTTTCAACAAAAGAGATATCTCCTTTAGTAAGAGAGATATCTTTATAAGCTAGAGAGATATCTCTTTAAACGAGAGAGATATCTCTTAAAGTTAGAGAGATATCTCTTTAACAAGTTTAAAAGAGATATCTCTCTTAATTAGAGAGATATCTCTTTAGATTTTCAAAAAGAGATTTCTAAGCTAAAGAGATATCTCTTTTAATGAAAGAGATATCTCTTTTCCAATCACCCTTAAAATAAAATAACTAATTCTCCCGTTAAAAACGAAAGCGAAACAGGAAGTAATGTCTGTTAAGTCGTTCGTTTTCTGGTTATTGAAAAGAAGAGGATAAAATGGACCGATTGATACAGGTAAACAACGTTTAATTGCTTTATTGTTTTAAGCGAAAGTAACAGGATTTCAAACCAAAACGTCCCCCAAAGATTGGTTCCATATTATATTTATTTCATTTATTTAACTCACAGGACAGCTGAGCCGGGGATATAGAATGCGAAGTCAATAAAAACAAATTCGAAATAGGCCTACATGCACCCAATTTCATCGATCACGGGAATACAGGATTGATTACTACGTCGATTAAACATAATCCTGATAGAATTAATGTTCTTTTTTAATTAATTAATACTCCAAAAATAAAAACGTCCAACATTACTTCTTTCATGTAAACAGGGATGTATATATTCAACTTCAATATTAACTGTAGGACGTTAAACGACATACATGTACGATCAATATATTAACTGTAAAGCCTTATGACCCCCTTCCCAAACACAGGCACCTGAAGTATGGATAATACCCCCCTTTTTTATATATTTTTTAAATTTAACAAAAAAAAGGGGGGGTATTATCCATACTTCAGGTGCCCGTGTTCCCAAATACTCTTACAATTATGAGAAAGACATTTTATTTTCTTAATATAGGCATTAGAAATAGGAATTTTCTTATTTGTCTTAGCTAGAACAATCCCCAATTTATCCAATGTTGTCACCAAACAGGTCTGCACTGGGTCCATAAGACATTCATCATTCAATGGTAGAACATTTTATCTACATTTGTCATATTTTACAGAGATCCAGGAGGTACTGAAAAAGGGACAATGCTTCGACTGAATGTGTCATCCATGTACCAGTATACACCTGTTAAATTGTTAATGAGGCATATCCAATAATTCTTATACTCATGAAGAGTGCGGCAACTCCCAAGTAGTTAAGGATGGCACTCATTTTAAATCAGGTACAAGATAATTTTTTGGGCTGCACTTTTCTTTACTTCAATATTTCAAACTTACTAGTTAAGTATCAAGTCCACAAAAGCTCAAACACCATGGTGAATCAATGGACCATAATGATAATTAAATTTGTCATATGCTTTCTTATTAAATTATCAATTTGAAATTTGATTGGTAAAAAACATTTATTAACAAGTACAATTCTTCTACTGTGTGCCTGTCATCCCAACAATTGCAAATGCACATTGATACATGTAGGTTCTCCATGAAAATTGCTAACTGTGCAGAATGGTTGCACATTTTTTCAATGAACGACATTTTCTTAACATTGAATCCTTCAGTATAACAAGACAAATATTGCATGCTTATTTTAATACAATATAAATAAACTTAAGAACAAATTTAAGGATTGAAGTTTAATTTGTATATTTGGTTGTTACATGCGTAATTAGTTTTATGTATAAAGGATGTACACAAGCATTTTATAACATTGAAAATATTCAAGAAAGTATTCTCTTAATTTCTTGTAGATCCTCACTTCTAGGATGTTTTCCATGTTCTTGTGAAAAGTGTTTTCACCATGGCACCATTCAGCTACAAATACTTTGCCGGTGGAACTGTGACATCAATCAACTGCTCATGCCACTGCTAATTGGCAGAATTTTCTTTGGGACAAGCAAATTGTTTCAAATATTTTACACCTGCAAGTTAGTACTTATGAAATTTTGTTTGCAGGAAGCTAAAAGCTAATGAGTACTGAAAATACAAGCCAGATGAAGTACAAAAGTGTTGATACAAGTCATTTAGAATTTTCAATTCTTTGCAGGTAGTGATGAGTGTACTGGAAGTTTTTTCGGGATCTTGTCCGACATCATAGGTACAACTGGTCACTGTGCTTTCTTGGTTATATAAGTAGGCATATTGTTAAAGCGGTGACACATGTAGCTTCAAATGATGCTTGACTGTTTAAGTGTTTTTCTTTGATTTATAAGTAAACCTGGATTGATCTCTGATGCAGTAATATAGAGCCATGTCCATTCTTTAATATTCCATCATCCCACTGTCACAAAGTACTGTAATAAAAATGATTTTGATTTTAAAAATTTTTGGTTTTTATATGTAACATAAAATTCTACAGAAATTCAAATATTAAAACTACTTCAAAACAAGATGTGTTTGTGAAACACTATGCACCAGGCGGCAACAAATTCAAACAAGTTTTTTTAAGCATATAGGTCATAGTCAAGGTCACAAGGTCATTGGCCTTGGTGTCATTTGAAAGAGCTTAATTAGTGGAGTATGCAAATCAAATATGAAGTCTCTATCTTTAACAGTACAAAAGGTATGGTGAAAGTTCAAAATGGTATTTATAGCATTAAAGTCACATTAAAGGTCAAAAGTTCACTGGCCTTGGTGTCATTTGAAAGAGCATAATTAATGAAGAAGGCATTCCAAATATGATTTCTCTATCTTTAGTGTATCAAAAGTTAAGGCGAAAGTTAAAAAAAAAGCTATTTTTAGCATATATGTCACAGTCAAGGTCACAAGGTCATTGACCTTGGTGTCTTTTGAAAGAATTTAATTAGTGGAGTAGGCATATTAAATATGAAGTCTGTATCTCTCATGGTTCAAAAGTTATTGTGGAGGTTAAAGTTGACAAAAGACAAAAAGACATAGAAACAGGATATAAACAATAGACAATAATTCACTTATTTTATGATTGTGTATATTAATGTGACTGAATTTTGGACTCAATTTGTACAAAGGTTTAGTGTCATTGAAAAAGATTACAAAATATCCAAAAGAACTGTTTTACTTGTTAATATAGAAGGAAGTTGTTTAGAAAATTTTCTTTTATTAGTTGCAAAAAATTTTATTTACTATTGAAGATCACAAGATAGTAAGCCATTATTTATTGATGCAGTAAAGTTATTCAAGTATTACAGAAACATAGAAAATTGTTGTGAAAAAGTTTTTCAATGTAAGGACAAAATACTCAGTAAATGGGTCCTGTGTGATAATGTGTACAACTAGTGATGAAAAAATCAAAATTGTAATTTTTTGTTAATCTATATCTACATTTGGGTACATCTGTTTTGTTTTTGGATAAATTGTATGTTTAACTGTCATATGTTTACATATATGTACATTTATTATGCCCCCCCCCCTCTTTGAAGAAAGGAGGCATATTGCTTTGCTGCTGTCTGTCAGTCCATTTAGTTTCCATTCATTTTCTTCACAACCATTGCACTGAAATGAAATTTGGTATACAGCCTTACAGGTATATCAGATGAATATCTAGGTCAAGTTCTGTTTTGGGTATGATCATCGCACCATTTTTGACAGAGTTATACCCCTTGGCTTTAGAAAAATTCCAATTACTTGCAGTTTCTGTTCATTTCCTTTGCAGAGGTTGCACATAGTGAAATGCAATTTAGTATACAGATTTATCAGATGATCATGAATATCTAGGTCAAGTTCTCTTTTGGGTATGCTTGCACCATTTTTGACAGAGTAATGCCTTTTTCGACTTAGATAAAAAATTCCAATGTGGGGGGAGGGGGGCATAAGTATTTTACAAACATCTCATTATTTTTAATTTTAGAAAGTGCACTGTGTGAGTGTGTGCAATTGTGGTGGTGAGTGGGTGAAAATTGTCTTGTGTTTGTACAGTGTATATATGGATATGGAAAATGCTTCAAAATAAAGCATTTAAAAAAAAGTTTTGGAAAGTATGGCAATCATATACCATGCAGTACTCAGAAATGCTAAATAAAAGGCTGTGTAGAAGAAAAAAAAATAATTAAAACTACCAATCAAATAAGTATTAAATGTAAATCTTTTAAGACGAAGGTTTTGCTTTGTCAGATTCTTTGCCTATAGGGTCACTTACCTTTAATAATGTCATGACAGGTGAGGCACATGGCTGGTCTTCATGCTGGATCAGTTCTTAGTTAAAACCATCCAGTATTGCCCCAAGATTGCCAGATGTACAGACAAAACCTGTAATTTAGCAAGCTTCTGTAATATGCCAATTGAATTATTACATAGGCCATAGTTGTATGTGCAACTGATAATGATGTAGGACTAAGGTGCCTGACAAATAATGAGTTATAAATCTTATAAATATCCATTTATTTGATACAAATCTTAACTTTCTTCATTAAATTTTATCAATGATTTTACAAGAAAATCAGAATAAAAATTGTCCTTTTTATACATAAAAAATATTTTCATTTAAAATCTTTTTATTTAAAAATATTTGTTGCATTTTCATATTTAGGGTACCCTTCCTAGGCCAACAATAAAAAAAATGATTTGTTTGATGTACTCTGACAGACCTGTTAAAATAGCCCCTACCCATTTGCATTCATTTCTTGGGGGCACTTAAAATTTTTTAACACCCCCCTTAATTTCCATAGATGTTAAAGATAAGGTATCATATTTTTTAAGGATGCTTTTTAATTTATAAATACAAAGTCTTTGTAACTAAATGAAAACATTAACAGATTTCTGAGTCTGTGGTTTTAAATATGACAGTTATCAATTTATTCAATGCTGTAAGACATAAGAAAAAAAAACTAGAAATATGTCCACAGGACAGGAATGCCCGCCAAGGGTATATTAGTCATCCAAAATGAAAATTTGTTTGAAATTGGATCAGAATATCTTGAAAAATGTTACAGTTGAATTGCTTACATCAGTATGTATCAGCATATGAAGTTTGACACTAATTTCAGAGATGTGAGGTCAAGGTCAAATAAAAGGTCAACGTCATGTTGATGCAGTTGAATTGCTTACATCAGAATGTATCACTATATGAAGTTTGACACTAACTTAGGAAAACTGAGGTCAAAGTCAAAAGAAAGGCCAAGGACAAAAAATATTTGTTTCAGTTGAAAAGCTCTCATCAGTATGGTAAATTTGATACAGTAAATCTCGTTTCGTACGAACACGAATATTGCAAATTCATGGGTATAGCGAAGTCATCTTGGATTCCCAGTTATAAAATTTCAATGAATTTCTTATACGATTATAATGAATTATGGATATAGCGAAGTAATTTCATAGGTCCCAGCAACTTTGTTATAACCGAGTTTTGCTGTAACACCATCTTGAATGGTATGTTTAAAACTAAGTTAAACACTAATTTAAGAAAAGTGAGGTCAAGGTCAAAGGAAAGGTCAAGGACAGAAAATGTTGATGCAGTTGCATAGCTCTTATCAATATCTATCAGCAAAGTTTGATGAAATATCCTGTATAGTTTCTTTTAAACTGGGCTTTGAACTGAGCTAAACGCAAAGTGTGACGCATGGACAGAAAGACAGAAGACAGACATGACAAACACTATATGCCCAGGCCATAATCATGGTGGGGCATAAAAAAACTACCGGTACCTACCAACCTACCTGCCAACCTTGATAAAAGTGGGTAGGAGTACATCAAACAAATATATTTTTAAAGCTGGCCAGTTGTTGACTAGTATATTAGTCATTTTGATATGCTATGTCTTATAAAAAATAAAATTTATATTTGTCTTAGAACTTATTTGTTGCATCAATTTCATACCTGTATTTGATTTGCATTGTTTTGGATGCTGATAATTCAAAGTCATGATCAGTATAGTCTTAGGTGCTGCTGACTTTGGATCTCTTAGGAACTGCATCTTTTATCTGTGTTACTGGTTCTCTTGTACTTCTGCTATAAATAAGTTTTAGTGTATACAGTTGTGTAATATCAGTGAATAAATTGAACAGACAGATTGATTGTTTATTGTTTATCGTTCCTCTCAAGTATTTTTCACTCATATGGAAACGACAGTGGAGAGCTGCAAATTTTGTCCTAATGACCTATACTCAGCACTCAGGGCCATTGACTGATTGAGCAGGAAGGGATCTTTTTTGTGCAAACACCTGACCTACTGCAACAAGGGGCCACAGTTATACTGTATCATCCCAAGGACAGGTCTCCACATCCCACAGTGAGTTTCAAACTCATGATGTAAGGATCAACACCTTATTTCGCGACTCTACTAGACCAGACACTCTAACCACTGTGCCATGCAGGCGAATTTGAACAGACAGAAAAATTTACCAAAATCCATAAACCAATTTTTCTATAAACAGGAAACATACTCTCTAAAGAAGGATATGGAAATAACGAACAGTATTCAATCTCAACGTCCATTAAACAAATATACAAAATAAGAGCAGAGCAAACACGGACCTCCGAAACATCAGAGGTGGGATCAGGTGCCATGGAGGAGTGAGCATCCCCTGCCGACCGGTCACACCCGCCGCGTGCTCGTTGTCATAATCAGGAAATAACAGAAAAAATCCGTGGTCAATTCAGTGTATAAATAATGGACTAACAATTGGTATGAAAAACGTCAGTCAGCATTTCATTCAATGATAAATTGTATTTGCTGACAAGGTCATTGTATCGACCATAGAATTTACGAAATGATGACTTTAAACGAGACTGTTGATATTCTTGTTTCATCAACTTGCTTGTCAATAATTTACCTCGTTTAAGAAATTGTTCATACGTAGAGCACGCTCTTGCGTATCGAATCAACTGAGATATAAATACTCCGTATGCAGGTGATGAAGGTATATTGCTGCATAAGTAAGGGAAGTTGACGATAGAAAAGTTAAAGTCATCACGTTTATCATATAGCTTGGTTGTTAGATTACCATTAGTGTCTTTTTCAAGTAAAATATCCAAGTATGAAGCAGAAGTGTCGGACTCTGTGGTATCTTTTATCTCAAGCTCACCAGGATATATCGAATCGACGTAGGAATGGAAATTATCATTGTTAATTGACAATACGTCGTAAGGGAGAAATATGGTCATCTAAATTTTATTTTATGCAGAGAGATGGCAAAATATATGAACATCTTATCCTTGTGAAATAGATCTAAATTGCTACAAACATTTAATGCTCAAAAAAATAATCCACTAATACAAAGCAGGTTAAAATTTACTGAAAAACAAGATGTGATTGTGAAACACTGATGCCCCCGTACGGCAATTTAGCCACAGTTAAGCTTTCTCAAATGCAAATCAAATATGTTAATTGGTACCAAAGTAAGGTCTTTTCACAAGAAATGAGAAATGTAAACACTAACTACACCTGCTCCAGGGTTATGACCAATGTTAACATCTTAAAAGACAAATTCCGGGTCAAGGTCAAAGGGTCAAGGTTGTTGTGTTCTAAAGAAAGGCCTTGTCTCAAAGATTACGTATGGGAAGTATGAGAGCACTGGCCCTTACCGTTCAAAAGTTATGGCCAAGGTTAAAGTTTGTAAAAAGTAGGTCAAACTTTAAGGTCAAGGTCAAAGGGTCAAGATTCTTGATATCCAATGAAAGGTATTGTCACAAGGATTACACATGTGAAATATGAAAGCTAGCCCCAACTATTCAGAAGTTATGGTCAAGGTTAAAGTTTGTAAAAAGTAGGTCAAACACCAAGGTCAAGGTCAGATGGTCAAGGTTCTTGAAATCAAATGAAAGGTCTTGTCACAAGGATTAAATTTGTGAAGTATGAATGCCCTAGTCATTACCCCTTAAAAAATTTCTGTCAATGTTGTATTTTTAAAGTGGGTCAAACTCCAAGGTCAAGGTCAAAAGGTCAAATTTGGTGGTACCCATATAAAGGTCTTTACACAAGGAATATTCATATGAAATATGAAAGTCATAGCTCCACTAAATCAAAAGTTATGGGCAAGGCGAAAGTTTTTGCAGACAAACAGAGAGACAGACAGACAGACGGACACGACAAAAACTAATTACCCCCGAAACTTCGTTTACGGGGGCATAAAAAGTATATTAAAAAAGTACCCAAACAAAAGTGATGCAGCCACAATATCATAAATATGACGTTGGTTCCCATCAATGACAAAACTCCTCCTCTAATCAGCTGATGAATAACATCTCGGATTCAAGAGAAATCTGTAAACAAATTAAGGCAAAAGATAATTTTGAAACTATTTCATTCGGTTAAGAATAAAACACTTCATTTTCCCTCAAAATAAACAAGAAACGGATGACACTCTCTGATTTGTTTACCTGTATTTCGATCGAAATATTCCTGGTGGACGCTCGCACCCAATTTCTTATGACATGAAATTCATACATAGTAAGTCGGACAACCCTTCGGCTTTGTAAAACTATTTAATTTCCCCCTGAAAGCTGTGTGTAAACCAGAAACATGCTGAACTCAATGCACATTCACCATGACCATGTGCGAGGAAGTGAAAATTATCGTAAAATCTCGCGAGTCACGTGACGAGACTTACAGACTCTGGACCGAATTTTCTCAGCTTTTGAAATAATGAATAAAAAGTTCACTTCCGGTAAAGGGAGAAGTCATTTCAAATGGAATTTAAATAAACATAATGAAGAGAGATATCTCTTTGCAATAAAGAGATATCTCTTTTTGCTTCAGAGATATCTCTTTTAGACCCTTTTGAAAGATATCTCTTTCACTTTGAGAGATATCTCTTAAGATAAACCTAGAGAGATATCTCTTTTACTTAAAGAGATATCTCTTTAACTTGGAAAGATATCTCTCTAAGTGATAGAGATATCTCTCTAGGTGAAAGAGATATCTCTCTAGTTGAAAGAGATATCTCTCTAACGATCAGAGATATCTCTTTAACGTTCAGAGATATCTCTTATCACGAAAGAGATATCTCTCAAGGAGAAAGAGATATCTCTCAAAGAAAAAGAGATATCTCTCTAAGTATAAGAGATATCTCTCTAACTTTAAGAGATATCTCTTTCTTATGGAGATATCTCTTTAGAATAAGAGATATCTATTTAAGTTGAGAGATATCTCTTATTTTTAAGAGATATCTCTCTAAAATGAGAGATATCTCTGTAATTTTCAGATGAAATTTATTTTCCGAATAAATAGTAAAAGGGCTTGCCATATAAAAGGGTCTCAATTGTGAAGGATATGATGTTTTAAATCCCACATTCTTCATTAGAGAACTAGTAGATAAAATGTATTAATCAAAATCTCTTGTCACTGGTGTTACTTCACCAGTCATTGGTGTTACCATAAAAATTAACTATTCGTAGAGAGCTTTATACAAACTAAGTTAAACTTGACTAAATTTACGTTACTTAGGTGATAAACTCTGACATTCATGCATGGCCAGTGAATTTTTCAGAAGGGAAAATATATTTTTTGAGCATAAAAAAATGTTTTGTCATTGGTGTTACATGTATATGATCTGAAGTTGTCATTGGCATTACCAGATATTTAAAACTTCTGTACGTGGAAAAAAAATATTTATTGGAAAATAAATCAATTACTTTCAAATACCATAAATTAGGTTTGCAAAGTAGAATACAAATAAATAATTTTTCAATATAAGAAGAATATATTTTGCCTCCAAAAGTACTTGTTTTGTCAATGGTGTAACCATTCCTGTCATTGGTGTTAAACTTTAGAAAGTAATGCCAATGACCGTAACACCAATGACGTATTAGTCATAAAATGATCTAATATTTCTTATTAACCCTGGATAAAGTAAAAGTTTTGTCAACATTGCTTTTAGTTTCCCTCAAGAACATCTTTCGTAAAAGAGTTCAATGAATATCTAAAATCGTTTTGAAATAACGATGGAAACACCACTGACAAAAAAAGTTTGTACTATTGTACTTTTTTACTTCTGAAGTCCATTAATATGTTCTGATCATGAATATCAAGGAGCAGTTTCTGTTGATTTTGGTGAGAAATGATGTTATATGACTTAGGACTGTTTATATTTTCTTATCAGGAATGATAACTCTTTTGTAGCAAAAACAAAAATAGTAACACCAATGACACAACTTTCTTGTACAGTCATATTAAATGCTGTATTAGTTAAATGGAAGGTGGGGCTCATATTTTTTTATTCAAAGATATATTCTATTTAACGTTTATTTTATGTATACATGATTTTTTAGACAAAATTTCATATCATTTTTGGCGTATTTATCCTTATTTGAAGAGAAAAATTCCATTGACAGCATGATTTTGGCTGATTGGAGTGATAAAATCATCCATTAACTTTAATGAAATTAATTATGTGAAATTTTTTATTAGTAAATAGAAAGTACAGATGTCATAGATTGTAAAGCAACAATCCAAAATAGGGAGAAAATAAGAAATAGGATTTTACAAAGAAGTGACACATTTAGCTGCTTTTTTTTATATTGACCCAGATACCTTTTCAGAGTACAAGGATCAAAACAAAGGGAAGATGCTTCACGTCAAAAATGTTACTTTACCGCAAGCTCGTACTCATTTTTACTATATCAAATCCGAGAAATATATGATAGAAAGTCATAAAATAAAAATATTGAACATCCGGAAATATATGGCCAACAGAGCCCAAAGCCTGAAAGATCAGATAGATAAAGTGCTTCAGGACCGAAAATCAAAAGTAATCTGTTTAAAAACAAAGTTACAAAACACGTATAGAGCAATAAGCAAACAAATGATTAGCTTACAGGAGCATGTGAAAAGTTATGAGCAGACAGAAAATAGAGCAGTAGAATTTTTCTTGTTCCAAAAGAAGATTCCTGTCCCCAAGTTGACGTTCACTTCTTCCATGCTTACCCTTCTAACTACTGAAAACAAAATCAAGAAAGAGGGTGTGATTGCATCACTTGTAGAAATTAGTATTACAGAAATTGGGAAAAGAAAAGTAAGAAGAAGACGATTATTGAAAATGTCAACAGATTTATCGAAGGAATCCTTAAGATTGACAAGTGTTCGATTTGTGGACCACATTTCTTGTGTGACGTCAAACCGGATGTGGGTGAGTGATGATAATAATCTAATTTTAGCAGACCTAAGAGGTGACACTTTATGTCACCTTACAAACATAGATAGCGGCATCTTTAGCTACGGATTACACACGGTTACCAGTGATGGAGATCTTATCTATATAGACAAGGATTCAGCCATCAGCAAACTTGGAACGTGCATCAAAACAAAATCTATCTTGACGAATACGACGGAAGCATGGAAACCGCGTTGTATCTTTTGCTCCCATTTCAACGGAGATATTCTTGTCGGAATAGAGAAACATAAGGCGGACGAAGGCAATGTTGATCGATACAGTGGTACAGGAGAACTCATTCAAAGCATTATTTACAATAGAAAAGGTCGGAATCTGTATAAACTTCCTAGCTATATTACAGAGAATCATAACGGTGATATAATAGTGTCAGACCAGGGACTAGAAGCCTTAGTAGTGACGGACCAATATGGAAGGCGTCGCTTTTCCTACACAGGGCCGCCTGGGTACCCGCTATCACCTCATGGTGTCTGTGTAGACCCATTCCTACATATCATAGTCTGCGATTCTAACACCAGGACAGTGCAGATGATGGACATGAATGGTCACTTTTTAGAATGGCTACGGACAGAATCAGACGGGATAAGTGTACCATGCGGACTGAGTTATGATGAAAGGAATCACCTTCTTATGGTGGGGTCATGGAACAGCAACACAATGTGTGTTTACAAATACATCCAGACATCAAAGTTTCTAACAGATATTTAACATAAGGGTGAATCAGCTTAGGCTCTGCCGTGGTACTGATGTGTTAAGGTATCTAATAGCGAGATTATGCCCTGTTCACACGGAGAGTTTAATTCGAATTAAACGTAAGTTTACTGCGAATTAGCTTCGCTAAGCGTTCACACGGAGAATTTAATGCGAATTAGTTTACTTCGCATTAGTTTACTGCGCATTAAATTACTTCGCATTAGCTCCGTGTGAACGCTAAGCGAAGCTAATTCGAATTAAATTTTGGGGCATGCGTAATGGCAAAATTAAGTCAAATGCGTCATGTCGGTGGTCAGCTTTAAGTATTTGTGCTATTTTTGAGTGAAAAACTAAGAAAAAATGTGTTAATCACTAAAATATGTCTCCAGACACTGTGCCATTATGTCAAATGTATCTGCTTCTGCATAAGGTGACGTGATTTGCAGATGACGTCATAATAGCCGTCTTCACGCCTGACTGTCGAAGTAAAATTTTAATTCGCATTAGTTTACTTCGCATTAGCTGTCGTGTGAACGCAATTTTATGCCCTGTTCACACGGAGAGTTTAATTCGAATTAAACGTAAGTTTACTGCGATTAGCTTCGCTTAGCGTTCACACGGAGAATTTAATGCGAATTAGTTTACTTCGAATTAGTTTACTGCGCATTAAATTACTTCGCATTAGCTCCGTGTGAACGCTAAGCGAAGCTAATTCGAATTAAATTCTGACGCATGCGTAATGGCAATATTAAGTCAAATGCCACTTGTCGGTGGTCAGCTATAGGAACTTTTGCTATTTTTGAGTGAAAAACTAAGGAAAAGTTTGTAAATCATTAAAATGTGTATACAGACACTTTGTCATTATGCCAAATGGATCTGCTTCAGCATAAGGTGACGTGATTTGCAAATGACGTCATAATAGCCGTGCTGACGCCAGGCTGCAGAAGTAAACTTTTAATTCGCATTAGTTTACTTCGCATTAGCTGTCGTGTGAACGCAATTTAATTCGCATTAGTTTGATTCGCATTAGTTTACTTCGCATTAATTTACTGCGAATTAGATTCTCCGTGTGAACAGGGCATAATTCGCATTAGTTTGATTCGCATTAGTTTACTTCGCATTACTTTACTGCGAATTAAACTCTCCGTGTGAACAGGGCATAAGAGAGCTGTGATTGTGAAAATTCTAAACCTTGTGTAACATTAGCATTAATACACGTAGAACATGTTGAGCCTGATTTTACACCAAATGATTGATTGATTGTACATGTATGTTGTTTAACGTCCCTTTCGAGAATTTTTAACTCAACGTCCCACTTGAGAATTTTTCACTCATATATGTAGAAGCCACCATTTACCAGTGGAGAGCTGCAGATTTTGTCCTATATTAGGCACTCAGGGTCATTGAGCAGTGAGGGATCTTTTACGTGACAGCACCTACTGCGACACTGGACATCGGTTTTAACGGTCTCATCTGAAGGACCGGTCTACACATCCCACAGAAGGATTCGACCCGCAACGTAAGGATCAACTCCTTATTTCGCGACTCTAGAGCCACTAATCACTGCGCCACGTGGGTGACTTACACCAAATGATAAATAATGAAGCTAAATTAATTGAACAGTAATCTCTCTCTCTCTCCTAAAAAATATCATTATGTGAAGAGGGCTTGACCAAGGACACGAGGAAATATAAGAGATGGGAGGAGTAAGCATCCCCTGTTGATCGGCCACACACGCTGTTGATCGGCCACACCCACTGTTGATCGGCCACACCCACTGTTGATCGGCCACACCCACTGTTGATCGACCACACCCGCTATTGATCGACCACACCCGCTGTTGATCGGCCACACACGCTGTTGATCGGCCACACACGCTGTTGATCGGCCACACCCGCTATTGATCGACCACACCCGCTGTTGATCGGCCACACACTTTTTTGATCGGCCACACACGCTGTTGATCGGTCACACCCACTGTGTGTCCTATGTATTGATCAAGAAAACAGGGTTTTCCGTAGTCAAGTTTATGACAAAAACAAAGATTAAACAATCGGTATGAAAGATGTCAGCCAAAATATATGACCCAGTGATAGGTAATATTTGCTATTAAAGTCATTGTAATGATCATAGAAATTTACGAAATGTCGATTTTAAACGTGGCTGTTGAAATACCTGCAATATCTACTTATGTGCGAGTAGTCTGCGTTGATTAAAAAATTTAACATACTCAGAGCATGCTGTTGAGTAGCAAATAAGTACAGAAATATTAACACCATATGCAACGGTAAAATTTGAAGTCATCATTTCGCAAATTTTATGGTCAATACGTTGACCTTGATAGCATATAATACTTATCAAATGGTGACTGACATTTTTCATACTAATTGTTTGGTCATTCTTTATGCAAACCGAATTATCTATGGGTTTTCTCCAATCATAATAAGAAGCACACTGCGGGTGTGGCTGGGAGGTTGGAGATGCTCACTCCTTCATGGCACCTGATCCCACCTCTAATTTTTTAGAGGTCTGTTTTTGTTTTTATCCCGATTTGTATTGTTAAATGGACTTCTGGATTGAATACTGTTCGTTATTTCCATATTTCATGCAGGTGATAGCGGAATATTACTTTATAAATAAGGAAATCTGACGATGGAAACGTGAAGTCTTCCTGTTTTTAATTCACTTTAGAGACCAAATATGATACAATCAGATATGGCAGACTCTGTGTTGTCTTTTATATAATTGTCTTGGATATATTGAGTCAATATAGCGATGGAAATAACTATAGTAACTATTGTAAATTGATAAAATTTCAATATATCTGAATGTTGAGTTGAAGAGTGAGATGTGTCGGAGACATTTTTTAAAGTTGTGTCAAACAGAAAAGTTTTCTTTGCCAGTGAAAAAGATAAATAAAATGAAAAAAGATCATCTTATTGAAAATATTTCAAGACATCACAATACAGTTAAAATTATCACTGTATATCATGTATATGGCAACATGACATTCCCAGCCGATACCCAGAATTTAAATGAAATATATATTACTTAAACTTGTAAGATTCTTAGCTTCACCTTAACAGTCATTAAATATCACCATTGTTATTCATCATGTAAATGCACATACACAAATCTTTTTACAAAAATCATTGAGAGCAGTGCTCTAAACATTCAGTTGTGTACAGGTGAATAACTTGAATTTCAGCAATCTTGAATTGTAAGTGAGGGCTATATCCTTGTAGAACATACTCAGTATACAATTTGGCAACAAGAAATATTCAACAAGTTTTTTTTTTTTTTATAAAGAGTGCATTTGATAATAAAATACATATACAAACATTTATGTAGGTTAGCACACTCAGAAATATCCTTTACAACTGGGTAATCCAAACATATTATAGTGCACTTCAATCATGAATACATTTATTTCTACCGGTATTAATGTATTAATATGTAAATAAATAACTGGACATAAAGCATTTGCAAAAGGTACTAAATTAAGTATTAGAATATCATTTACAGTATTCTTATACCTGACATCAGAGTGTAGAATTATTCTATTTAGTTTAAATACGCATACATGTATAATCAAGTGTATAACTAATTGTCTTATATTTCCTTTGTTCCTTATTGTCATTTTGAGCTCATTTTTACATCATCGGACGATGAAATTGTAAACTAGACATGGTTACAGTAATGCCCACATGTATGTTGTTATTATAATTCAAACCTGGCTTTAACAAAACAATGAATCTATCCTGTTAAAAATCATAAACAAACTAAGCTACAAGTAACTATAACAGTTTCACCATGAAAGTATAATAAAAGAGTTTGATATTTACCTAAATATAAACCCAAATAATTAAAATTCAGCACTTATAAACCTACTCCACATGTAGGTACAGGTATAATGCACCAAACTATTATCTTCATTAAAAAAATAAACCATTCAAATACGGTACAAATCATCAATATTGACAGTAAAGTCAGTTCAAAATCTGCTAACTTAAATATTCTGGATTTCAGAGACAAGTTTTAATCATGTACATGTACTTGTGTCTTAGTCTTGTGTCAGACTTAATAATCTTAATTTTTTCTTGAAAGCGGAACAATTTGAAAATTCAGAAAACCAATCGTTGAATTTAGTGACTTAACAAGAAGGATATGGAGATGACGAACAGTGTTCAATCTCAAAGTCCATAAAACAATACAAAATAAAAACAGAGCAAACACGGACCTCTGAAACGTCAGAGGTGGGATCAGATGCCATGGAGGAGTGAGCACCCCCTGCTGACCGGTCACACCCGCCGTCTGCTCCTTGTCATGATCGGGAAATAACGGAAAAATCCGTCGTTCAATTCAGTGTATAAATAATGGATTAACAATAAGTATGAAAATCGTCAGTCAGCATTTGTCTCAATGATAAACTGTATTTGCTGACAAGGTCATTGTAGCGACCATAAAATGTACGAAATGATGACTTTAAACGAGACTGTTGATATACTTGTTTCATCAACTTGCTTGTTAATAATTTACCTCGTTTTAGAAATTGTTCATACGTACAGCATGCTCCTGCGTATCGAATCAACTGAGATATATAGACTCCGTATGCAGGTGATGAAGGTATATTGCTGCATAAGTAAGGGAAATTGACGATAGAAAAGTTAAAGTCATCACTTTTAAGATATACAGCAAACGATTTAAGATATACAGCCAAAATTCAGTTCAACTCATTGATCGCATTCAGAAGATTGTTCCTTCAAAGAGAAAGTAAATTTCCCTTAAAAAAGAAAGTAACCTTTTCTTTGGTTCTCAGATTTTCCTTCTGTGGAAATGCATGCAGAGGATATGTAAAAAAAATATTGTACATTGTAAAAAAAAATACATTTTTTTTTGTCTTTAGAAATTTCTAAACATGATTGTATCTTTTTCAGTCTATCTAAAGTAAGTACATCTACTGTTCTAATTACTGCTGTATTAAGGACAGATGATACAAACATTTTTTTCTTTGG